TTTTTTCTGAGCAGAGAATACTCAAAAAAGCCTGAAGATCCCACTTCATTCCACAAACACTTAAGTAATGGGGTGGAAGAGGAAGGAGGGTGTGGAAAATTTCTGCTGAAAAAATTCCAACTCCTGTTGCTCTTTCTTAGGGAAAATAATGGCATCAATGCTTTGTATGGGTACATGGAATATGTTGGTATTGCTCAATTAAGATTCCTTATCGAAGAGAGATGAGAAGACCAAGATGCTGCCCATGCAAGAGACTCACACTGACTTCTTTATGAGCACCAGAATCCTCCAGCAAAGGGATTTGGTAGAATATGAAATACCATGCTAAAGAAATACCTATAATATAATATTATATACCAATAAATAAAGTGCCAAAAACTTCACCATTTAACCAGTGACAACTAACACGAGAAAAAAAGATAAAGAAAAAAGAAAGCAAGCTGAAGACCTCTAAGTTTGCCAATAAAGGCAGTAAGACAAACTTTCACAGTGCAATTTTTTTTCTGTCTTAATACTACTAATCAGCCTCTGCTGTATTTTTTAAATGCATTCATAAACCTCCAAAAAACTGTAAGAGGTGCACATGACATGTTCAACCATGATTACATTTCACTGGGCAATATGAGGAGATGCTATCTCTGCATGTAAAAACTATTTGGAGTATTAGGGTTTAGGTTTCCTCCTTCTATCTCCCCATGGAAGCAATACTTTGTCAAGGTCCACTATACCTCTAATAGTTATGGTTTTGTAGTTCTATTGCAATATATCATATTAGTATTTCCAGAAGATAGAGTATCTAGCGATTAAATGTACTGAAACATTGGTCTTGGCTTTACATACACCATCAGCTATCAAGAATGTGCTTTAGTCCTTTTGAAAAACACTGGATAGAGGAAGGAGGAACTAAGAATCAGAATTCCTTCAACAAGCAAATGGGGTGCATCTGTGGGCAGTGGTGGTGCAAGGCTCATACAAGTTGTTGCAATATTCATTAATTTTCAGTTGTAACCTTTTAAACAGGTTGCATGGCATTCCATCAATTTTAGAAAATTATCCAAGAGCTGAACAGTGTTTGAATCTGTCAGTGCAAGTTTATTTTGTAGTCTAGAACATTTAGATTCAGTAGAAAAATACTCCTAAGTACACGATGAATCTGAGAAGAACCACCTAATTAGTCCTCTAACACAAACTCCACCAATGATTCGACGATTGACTACAAAAAGCAGCATCTTTCCAGTGCCAGAAATTTTGTAAATACAAAGGCATCAAGGAGAAGTACGGAACCTATCCCACCTACTTCGTACCTTTTCACCTTGGAGCTACAATATGCTCATGTACATAAGCAAGAGATAAATATTTTTAATCTCTTCATGAGAGAGGAGGGAAGACCACAGTTTTTTCCTACACAGTCATGCATTTCAAGAAAATATCTGACAAATGAAAGGAAGCATGGTAGCATTTATGCTTTATGGATATGCACTCAATTCACCCATGCCCCTCTAAGTTTTTGGCACAGAGAGACTTGCTAGATGAAAATGTTTTCTTCAGGGGTGACATCACTTTCCCCGTGCAGAAGTCTTGTCTCACAACTGCATGTGAGCACCTCCAACATCCTGATGTCATTCATTTAGACAGGAGAACAGAAAGAGAACTTCTCTCTTTCGGCTGGTTTAATTGCCCCGACAGGATGCCAGGCCAGACGAGATGGTGCTTCCAGGTTCACTGTACTGTATGCATTTCTGATAAATGGGAAAAGAATAGATGACCTGGCAGAAGGCTCAGACAATAACATGTGATTTACAGGACATGAATGCAGCTACTATAAGATTTATCTGACAGCCCTCTCCGATAGTGGACTGTTGAGCATCCGATGGAATGATTTCTAGTCTAGAAAGTCTGCTACTGAGTAGCCATACACATTATTTATTTATTAGATGTTTTGGGTTGAAACCACTTTTAAATGATGCACTTCACAATGCTCAGCCATAAATTTAGTTTCAAACCCTGGAAGGGAGGTAGTGTTATTGGAATGTGTGTCAGACTGAATTAGGATGAGCAACACAATGCTTTTATAAAGTGGCCTTGAATGCAACGTCGATTCCTTCAAAAATGATATTAATGTCAAATAAGCAGGAACACTTTGCAGTAATAGTAAATGAAGGATTCTTTATGTTTTGATAGATTTATAGAAATGTAAGTACACACACTCTGAAAATGTAGCATGTCTATCAAAAAACACAACTGTTTTTGTCTTGGAAAAAGCCTTTTGTCTGGGTCTCAAACCACCTGTTTCTCTTTTTGTCTTGTGTTAAGCAGAAAGTAATTTATAAACATGCAAACACAAAAACATTAAATAAGGTTTTTTTTCCATATGCCTAAATATATGAATTTTAAACAAGAAAATAAATTAACCAGATGTCACAAATAGTTTCAGAGAATTGCACCTCTTGAATTTTTTTTAAAATCACTTCATCCACTAAAAAGCTTTATTTTCAAGATTTTATGACAAAATTGTAGGATATAATTTTTCCATTTTCCATTTCTGAGGAAGAAAAATATAATTCATCCACAGATTTAAATGAATATCGGAAAAATGTCAGGTGTTTCAGAAAAACAATCCAAGTACTTATATCTTATCTACAATGTTTAAAATTAATTTTAAGGAAGAGGTTATCATAAAAAACACTGAAGATTAATAAGAGCAATCTTTCAATTTCATAAAACGATGGCTGACAAATTTGTGAAGTTTTAAATCAAATTTTCAGATACTTACTTCATAACTATGCCACATTATTTATGTGATTAAAAACTGGCTTTTGACCTGATCTTTTGATCTTTGGCACTGCATCCTCTCCATCTCCTCTTAAAAATTAATTAAAATTTTAGCAAAAGGATATCACTTCATTTCCCACCCTATCTTGCAGGGAAAAAAGAAAATAAAAAGAAGGAAAAAAAAAGAAAAAATCAATCAAGCTCAAGCCCATCTCCTCCCAGTATCTGTAAAATGTCAGCTTGAAATTCAATTTCATATCTCTCAAGCTTTCATGTAGCAAAAGACAGTTCACTTCTTAACAAAATAAATCACTTCTGTGATTGCCATGCTGACCTCTTTGAATTAGGAAAATTCAAAGTGAAAAATGTAATTATCACCCCAGAACAATCTGTATACATCTGGAGCTAATTTTAGATTCATTTCTCACATCATTTTTCATATTCTGCCAAAAATTGCCAAGCTGCTATGTAACTTTAAAAAGACTTTGAGGTGTTTGTGACCTTACTGGTTTATTTCTACTACTCCACAAAGAACCACCTCAGCCTGTGCAACTTGCACCGCTAAGCAATCACGGTAGCTTCAATTTGATTAGATTAGCATTAAGTGGCATTGTGACACATATGACAAATAGATGCATTAGAGCACGTCATTTATTCCTTATCCTTTCCACTTCCCAAAACCAAACAAGTGACGTACACTACAGAGCACAACATGATTTTAAGAAAGATTAGATTACCTTACCCAAAAAAAAAAAGGGCAAGGTCAAGCACTAATTATTGATACAAGCAGCATGGATACCAAAAACTAATTTTTCTAAATAGTAGTACCAAGTTGTCAGATACATATTTAATGCTTGGATTAGTTTTTACTTTAACACATTCCTGAATGAACAGTAAAATTTGTTATATGGATTTCTCAGTAGCAAAGATTCTTTTATAATTTAAATCAGCTGCAAGCTTCATATTCAAGAAGTTGTGAACAATGTTCACTACCAGTACTGCCTTATGTAAAATAACAATCTCTAGATTCTGTAAGTTCCATAAGGAATACTAAATTCCTTTCAGGGTAAAATGATACTGTATTTCCTTAGGAAGATGGAAAATAAGATGAGCAAAGTTCTGGTTACATTCATTAATAATAACCTCACTGGAAAATGTAACTACTCCTCACTAGTTCATTGTAAAATCTATTAGGTGTAATCTCCAGAAGTAATTGTTCTTACTGCACTTTATTGACAATGTAGACTATCGATTTTTCACACCTTCTATGATTCTTTCATTTGTATTCATGAAATGTCTATCAGCACACTCTAAATAAATTTGGCAATATAGGCACTAAAACGAATAAATCGATGTGAAGAAACATTAATTTTGCATTATCCTTATTCGTCAGGCAAGCAAACCATAGGGGTTGTAAATGAAGGTCAAAGGTTTTGAAATGGGTCAGAACCCTTGACCTCTAGACCAATACCATTCCCATTAAAAAAGGCTATTTTAAAGTTTTAAGTAGGGGAATTTACTACCAGAAAGGTATAATTTTAAGGCACCAAAAGAAAGGCTCAATAAAAACAGTCTTCCATTTAATTACCAAAAAAAAAAAAAAGGCAATAAAGCCCCCAAAAAATCCAATTAATACAGCATACATAATTTTAAGAAAGTTCTTTAGGCTCTGTCTCTTTTCCAACCACAGGAACAGGCAGTTCTCAAGTTCTTACATATCTAAAATCACTTTGCCTTTAGGAATGTAGAATATCCTAGACTGATGACAACCGGGATTGCTTGCTTAAATTTTTCTCAAATCCTTAGTACTTGTCAAATCAATTAGGAATGACAGGGTTTCAGAAGTATTTATCACTCATTTCATAACCTCTACACAAAAGGAAAAATTCTATTTATCCCAGAGGATTCAGTATACCAAGTTGCAGGAATCAATCTGTTTCTTTAACTTTAATATTTATTGATCCTATCTCATCTTACAAAAATGACAGCATAATATTACGTAGGCACACCATCTTCAAGGTTATGTAAATGCTCAACAGCAAGGTTAACAAAAAACCGCTTGAATAGACACAATTACAATTATTTTTTTAATCAAAAGGCCTTCCACATTATCATTTTACCTATTACACATGAACTTAAATTAAAAGTAAAATTTAAAGTAAAATTTTATCTGTAATTTTCTTTGTGTTCAAACAGATTGATTTCAGACATTATAACTTAAACCTCACCTGAGAGCAAAGGAGCATCACCAGCTCCACAACTGAACTGCTAGGTTTCATGCACATAAGACCTACAAAAGGAAAAAAAAAAATTATACATAAATGCATGCTTATATGGCACCAACTATTAACACAAACTATTTTGAAGTGCAATAGATTAGAAGTGTTTTGAGAAACAAAAGAAAACAAAAACTTTCATGTCACTTCCAGTTCAATTTTGTACTTTATCAGCACAAAATACAAGTACATGTGTGAGAGGGAAATCATGCCTTCCATCTAAAAGAAGCAGCTAGTAGTAATTCTTACCTTCACTACTCAGTTTCATAAACATTTGAATGTCAGAATGACCAGAAGCATGGTTAACATATGTTATATTAATCCACTGTATCTACATTTTGCTATTTCTCGAAGGATTGGGTCATTATATATGCAGAGAAGGGAAATGGCTTTATGACCTCTGCTTTCTCCATTGCGCGTTCTCCTTTCAGCCCCCAGCTATCAATCAAGTTTCCATTTTGTTTCATGGCAGCAGACATCCCAAACACTCTTATTAGTACTTTGACCCTTAACCCCACACTAAACCTAAGCAGAAGTGCAAGCAGTAACCCATATTTTCAGTTGTTTACAAACTAATTTGAGTATAATTATTCATATTCTCTTTTTGGTTTGGGTTGGTCTATAACTGGGGTTTAGAACCAAAAATTGGTTTAATGTGTTTATTTTTGTCTAGACAGTTCATACACTCACAGTGATTATTCTGCTTTTTTTTTTGCTCATCTAATTTATGAAATACTCATCTATCCATGTATGTAACTATACTACAGTCAAAATACTTTGAACCAGATTCTCTTATCTTCAGAGGAAAAAAATGTAATTAAAATGGGATTATTTGGTTCCTTAGAAAACAAAGCTTTGAGAAAAACTGCTTTTCTGCTTTTTCTTATTAAATGAATGAAATGAATTTGTTCACAAGAGAGCTTCCATAAAAATATTTATCAGCTAAAATGATGCCCACATGCATAAATGAAAGTAGAATCCCATCTTTGAGTCTTACAAAAAACAATTCATACACTTCTTCCAAATCTTTTTACCTCAAATGGTAAGCAAGCTAAACTACAAAACTAAATAACTTAAATTAGTGAAGTTCAATGAAGTCTCAATTTTGATATCAGCAGTCTTTAGTGAAACACTTAGCAGTGTTTGATGCTCTAATTGTGTTTCTTACAATGCTTATATTCAGCATTACAAACAGGATGACTGTCCTAATCCAAGAAATGAGTAGTTTCAAAAATGTTTTTAAAAGAACTTTAATTCCCTAGGAAGAAACTAGATCTGTTAGTTCAAACACAGCTCATGTGTGAGTGATCAGCCCAAGTTAAGCAACCAGGGGATTCTATTATGAGTGCACTTATCACTAGAAGCTGCAACAAGCTCTTCTTGTCACTTCTTCAACAGGACAAAACCTGAAAATTGCACTCTAAAAATCAGTAGATGAAGCAATTTATATGATATAGCCAAATTTTGAGAAAATTGAAAAACCGGTGTTGCATTGCTAAATTCAGTCTTCCAATACGTACATTTTTTTAAGAATGAAGATATTAATGCCTCCATTGCAGAACTGAGCCTCATTTTAAGCAGAGAGAACCGCCCCAGTAGATAGAAAACTTCATCCTCTCAATATTGACTGTTTCATACCAATCCTCCACCAGGAAGAGCCATGATCACTGTTCTGCACAGGAATCCCTATCTTCTCAGATGTGCCAGAGAATTCTCCTCCATACTGACAATGTATTTCTCTTACTTGTATGACTCCCTTCCAATGAGAAGCCAAAAAGCCAGAAGCAGACTCACGTGGTGATAGACCAGAACTCCACTGACACAGCTCCCAAGAACCCTTCTATCACAACATCCTAGTAAAAGTGTCAAGTCTGTGTACCCAACTCACTACGCTATATACTTTACTTTGTATCAAAGTGTTGACCCGGACACCAAAATTTCTCTTAAAGCTCACAAAATACATTTTGTACACAGCTTCTATGGGACAAACAGCCAGGAGAGTTGGAAAACAAAGGAAGATGGGCACAGAGGTAGCAGAGTTGACGAAGATGAGGAGGCAGTGAAATCAGAGAGGTAAAGACAGAAGGAACAAGAGGCAGTGAAATCCAGTGGACAGAACTGTTTGGGAAAGCAAGAAGAAAGCTTCTAAATAAAGAAATTTTCAGTCTCCAAGGTAAAGCAAAGAACACAAAACCCCTCCTTTTTTAAATGGAAACTTACTTGTACCTTCTATCAGCAACTCCTGCCCATGGCTGCCCAAAAGAGTCCGAGAAAGAAAGGGAGCAAAATCCACAAAAATCTCTCTCAGAAGTGGGGCAGCTTTTTCCAAAGCATGCTCAAGCCTGTCTGTAATACTAGTAGAGAGATACATGTGATTAGCAATAAAAGAATGAAGTTACTGAAATTTTGTAAAAAGGAATATAGATTTTGACAATGTTTAAGTGATATACATGTATAAGAAGGAATTAATTATCCCACACTCAATATTTTCCCAAACCTTCATTAGTTATTGAAAATCAGCAAAAGGACATTCTTAAGTTACATGGTATCAGAATATCAATTGTAATATCAATAACACGAGCCACAGCACAGCTGTTCAGATCAATTGGAGAAGTTACCTCATATTGGAGACAGAATCCTCAGGCACTGAAGAAACTGCAGGAACAGATGGCAATTTTGAATTAGATGATCCCCTTCCTACAAGAGAAAGTAATAATAGACAAATTAAATAAAAAAACATTCCAGGGTTTAGAAAAGCAGACCAGAAACTAAAGCCTTGAATCTGAGCTCTGAGAAACCATGGCTTTCAAGTGTTGTGTGAGGACTAGGTGAAATCCTCTCACCTCTTTGTACTTCAAATATTTTTTTTTTTCTTCCATAAGAGTCCTATTGCATTCACATTTACCAGATATGCCATGGTAAGTTTTCTTAATGTTGCTTTAGCATGGACAGAAAGTAATTCAAGGAAGCATTGTAGTTTCTTTTGTGAAGGAAATCAGACTAGGCAGCAGTGATTCCTTCTGGCCAAGAGACGGGATCCTCTTTGAACAAATTCAATAACACACTCAAGAAGTGAATACAAACTACAAACTACACCTTCAATATTACTATAATATGCTAATATATATAATAATACTAATTCATAATAATATAAAGCCAAATGGAAATGTTTTAAAGCCGTCTCTTGGTTAGTGGAAGTGTTCACCTAATTTCAAGTAACTTGCACAGAAAATTTTGTCTAAAATTAAAACATGTATTTGCATTAAATTCACACAGAAAACAATGTGTGGGTATTTTCAACAGCCAAGCTTAAAATTTTGCAAAACTGAAACTGACAGAGGCAACTATGATAAAATTTTCCATTGCACTGCCAGTGTCATTAGCATGATGGCAGTGGTATATAACCTCATTTATGAGTTATTAACTTTGCCACATCAATTATTCAAAGGTTGATAGGGAAGACTGGGTCATTTATGTACCCTACACGTACAGAAAAAAAGCAGTTGTGTTATGTCAAATTGACACTATATGGCTCTCATCAGCACAGGAGGAATCTGTAAATATGAGATTCTGCTGTTCAGTATATAAAGAGAAATACAACCTCCATACTGCAGTATGGATTGGTATTAGCAATGATGAACAGGGGGCAAGCAAGACAGCCAGAGACTTCACAGATATTTTCTGCCAGGATAGGAATGGTGACTCACAAATCTTACACTGCATTCCAAGCCATAGAGAGGAATGAATCTTAGCAGACAGGTTTCTGTGCATTTCCCAGGAGCATGACTGCTCCTAGTCCATCTGCAATCCTATCTCTTTCCACCCCGAGACCCTGTCCTATTCTCTTTCCTCTCACCTTGCCAGTTTCAGATTTTTATGCTACTGGAAAGGAGGGGAGGAGAAAAAAAAAAGGAAAAAAAATCTGAAATAAGGGACTTTAATCATTTTAGTTCTCACATCTATCTTAGCAAAGACGTGACCCTTCTCAGAACTATAGAAAAATTCCTGATGGTCCCACCTACAATGGACTTTGTTAATTCACTTAAGTGCAACCTGTCTGGAAACAGCTGCTGAGATCTTGAAACTATCTACAAAATGTGCCATCTGCAACTTTTCAAAGATTTTCAACTTGACTGAAGTGAAATAGATTTGGAAAGAGATGGCAAAGATAGATCCCTGAGATAGTGAAATATTTCTCCTGTCAAATTTCAAAATTCTGCTCCAAAACCCTGGCACTCAGAGCTTCCTCCAAGTAATATCAAGGGTTTCTGATGGGTGAGGGCTTTTTTGGTTTTCTATCCAGAGAAGATGGTTTTCTCCAATCTTATTTCAAAGGCAGCATAGAAACTAATAAAATAATTTAGATTATCATAACCATGAAAAGTTTTGCTCTCATTTGTTTTTCTTTCTTCAGAGATAGGAGATATCTTTGTGAATGTGTTTTATTTGTTCTTTTCATAAATTCAACCTGAAGCTCTTATGCTGACTGCTGTATGGGTATGATAGAATCAAAAGGAAACTGAGTGGGCCATACAGAATGAAGAATAAGAAAGTGGTGAACAAAGCGTTAGCTGAAAGCAAAGTGAAATGTGAACCTTCTAGGCACTGTATCTTAAATAATTTATCGAAAAAAGACTAGTCAAACATATATATTCCTGAAGATTTCAATGGTGATAGCAATATTTTGTACATGTTCTCAGTATTTTCATAGATATAATTCCATTTTTTTTAACAGCTAATTTTCCACAGTCAAACCACCAAAAAGTATTCGGGTATTCCCAACAGAAAAGCTGTCAAATGATGTGTTGAAAATTAGGACACAGCCTCCTGCACAGAAAAACAAAGCCCACATAAGGCAACAAAGCCACATGATTCAGTGGTTTGTCATTTACTTAACAGCTAAAATACTTCCTTTAATTTATTTTTTTTTATTAAGACTTTAAAACTACTATGTCATTTGTCATGAGAAACCTTATATTTAAATAATTTGAGTAGAATACCCAGCTTTCTCCCTGAAGCCCAACATCCCTATTCTCATTTAACAAGTCCCTCTAACTTAAAAATACTCCAAAGTCCATGTGTCCAGAAGTGGATTTACAGGCACACACTGCCCATAAAGGGAAGTCTGCACACTTATCTGGGTAGTCCAGCACAGCACCAAACTGAAATGACACACAAAGCCTTCAAAACAAGGAAGTCCTCTCAACACACAGGTTGTGGAAGTAGCATGTCTTGATACAGAAATGCTCACATGCTTTTTACCACAACTAATATCTGTCACCAGTAACCCACTACTCACTGGGTATGGTTATATAGTCAATAGTACACAAACTAAAATCCTAGCCTATTAAAACAAAGATCACTTTAGCAGGATAAGACTTAACAGTGAAGCACAGCAGCATGTGTTTTTATATTAAATGAGATGAAAATAATTATGTGCAGTATTTGGGCCATCAGCAAAATAACTGAAGGAAAAATTAGGGAAAAATAAAATCAAAGGAAACATCTGCAAGGACAATGAGAGGGCATATCAGCCATCACAAGGCTAATAAAGAAACAGTCTAGGCTAACTTGGCTTTTTTACTTATTTTTTTGGGATGGGTTGGGGCTTTTTTGGTTTTCCATTTTTTCAACAAAACTGGTAAAAATACTTTGAGTGGGAGGTAAAGGAACTCACTAACAACATAGGACATGAATATTTTTACTTCTTGAAATAAAAAAGAATCTGCACAAAACAGATGAGGTATAAATGTAAAACTGAAATTTTGAGTACATATCAACTTGTAAAAATAAACATAAAAAAAGGCACTGATGATTTGAATTTAACAAAGCATAAGGCAGGCATCTATATAAACTGATATTCTTTTTTCAGATTACATAAGGGTATTTCTGGTCTGAATTTCTTCATGCTTATCAACACCTAAAACCACATTCCAAACTCAGATACATTTCACTAAAAGGGGTGAATCTCAGATTTATCCCAGCTGAGAATTTCAGGGTTCTTTCAATGGGATTAGGCATAGTGATTTTTGCATGCAGATTTTGTTTTGTGAAAGTACATTTTTTACTTTATTTAACTCAGAGGAAGCTTCTTATTACACTTTTTTCTGCTTTTAGTGAAAAAGATGAAAATACTTCAGTAGCATATTTTCATCCACAACACACATGTGGGTAAGTGCAGTAGCTACTTCAAACATGTGGAACTAAACTGACTTATCTCTTCCTTATCCTTTCACTGATAAACTGGCTCCTTCAAACTGACAGTTTTACAGACATTTGCAAGAACATAAAAGAAAATGCAAATAGATCATCTGTCTAGCACCCTTACAGTGAAACCTTATTGTTTATTCAAGGTCCCCAAGGGTCTAAACAAATAGTGTCTCAAGCAATAAAATATTGTTTAAAAGTCCTTGTGCAAGATCCTCTTGCTTTTGCATGTACACTCACAAAGTACACTTGGCAATGCACAAGCAGTACATGATAATTTACTCTGTGAGGAGATGGAGATGAGGTATTAGAAAAAAAACAGAGTTGAATTAAATAACCACATCTCTTAATTTTGTACAACAGACCTATCTTACACCAGTGCCCTTGGTGGAAGAAGCATCCAGTAAAATAATAAGCTCATTCAAAAATACACTTCCAGGGCTGGAAGTGAACAATGCAAGACTACAATGAAACGTTTTACAAGCTAATATAAGGGTTCTGTTACATAAACACATCTGTAGGCTAAAGCAAAACAGATTCCATGAAACAATGGTGAAAACTTCTCTTAAGAGAAGTGGCTTTAAAACAGTTTTTATACTGACACAGTATCAAGCCATTTCCATTGCATATCATCAGAATCTGAGATTTTTTTAAAGTGCCATTCTGCTATGGTAACTAGCCGTCAACTACTGTCACCATTAAGCTGGAATTCTCTTTGAAATAATTACTATAATCCAGTGAATTGCTTGAACAACCTCTGCACTGATGGTAACTCACTTCATGATCATTTTTCTTCCTTTAGCTTGTCGTCTGCTAATTTATTTTATTGCATGACTTCAAGTTCATCTTCACCTATGTATAAAAATCAATGAATACCATTCATCTTTGCAAAACAAGCCAACTGCCACAGAAAATTTACATTTTACTAAGTATTTGACTAGGATTCAGTAGTCACAACTCCATTTTTATCTGCTGTTACTGCTTATCCTCGTTTTCTTCCAAACATTCACTTCCTTTTTCACCTCAGTCTTTGACATGACCTCGTTTACAACTTCACAATTTGGGGAACAGCTTGCCCAGAGAAGGAAAAATCCTGTAACTAATTCTGAGTGGCTCAAAGGCAAAACAAATGAAACTCCAAGAACTTCAAGAAGGAAGGGGAGGAGGCAGGCAACAGAAACTGAGTGGAACTTCTCAGTGTTTTTCTACATTCAAAATGTCAGTAAGGAAAATTGACAATTCACCCCTGCTTCCCTCAGACTTTTCATATCCCCTCTTCATTAAAATTGTAGTTGAACAACCATTTGGAAACTGAATAGTGAAAGCCTCAAGACTGCATTCTTTGGAGTGAAGCACTAATAAAACACATGTGAAATCCTTCAAGCACATAAACAGAGAAACTCAGAATCAGAGAAAACAGTGGGAGTACAAACTGCAAAATATTTTAAAAATTCTCACCACTTCAGAACATTGTGACTGTAATGGAAACATTTAAAAGGAAAACTAACTGACAAACAAAAATACAGGCATCCTGCTGGCATGTTCACAATAGCTTAGGCAGCTCTGCCAAGTCCTGCCTGTACAAATATTAGTCTTGTCTTAGCAGTAGCCCTTCCTGAAAACAGCATGTGTAAAACCTCTGCGTCACATCACACATTCAGCCTGGGAGACAACCCAAGGGAGAAACAACTCCAGCAAATTCTCGCTTCTTACATTACTACTAGCAAAGATGTTCTTCTGTGCAACACAGCTCTCTGTAGTAGACACCAAATGATTAGCTCAAAATGGGCCACCAGGTTTATCTTCTCCATTCATTTCCAAGATTACAGCAAACCAACAACCCAAATACCAGCCATCAGCAACAGACCCATGGGAAAGTTCGGACCACAAGAGCCACATTTGTGTTCAGGAAAGGCTTTTTGTGCTATGAAATATTCTGCAGATTGAATGAGTAAAAATGAAGAAACTTCTGCAAAAAGCCAGAGTGTCTGAGGCCAAAACACGCTGTCACCCTCTTTTAAAATATCAGGGGAACAGAGCAAGCTTGGATGGTGCTTTCCAACTTATCAACAGACTGTATTTGGCCAGGATATGCCATAATCCGTGTGATATTGGAGTATCTTAAGCATCAAATCTGAGATGCTCACAACCCTTGAGCTACAGACAAGAAGCAAACTTCAGAAAAAATTATTGGGAAGGAGCCTGATGAATTCTGAGCACACATAAATGGCAGTGGAGGTAATACATAGAGTGATATTTCAACACAAATCCTACCTTGACCAAGCAATTCTGACATCACATCTACAGGTAGAGGATGATCACATACCATATAACACTTATTTCCAAACAGAGTTTGTGCACATTACTATTAGAACACTATCACCTGCTATCTAATCCTATTCAAATGTCTGCATAGCAATTACACCCCTGTTTTGGACTAAATCTGCTGAAGTCTTCATCATAAAGCATTAGCTGTTCATTTATTTTACATGCTATATATTACATATATTAAAATATATATAGAGTTATATTATATATGTTATCAATTTTTAAGGTGTATCAAAGAAATGAATATAAAACTCACTTAAAAAAAACAGAAGAGATATTTTTAATGTAAAAGAGATTTTTTTTAATGTAGGAATAATGTTTAACAGCCTTCATATCAAACACGAAATAGCCCCAAGTTTATATTCACTACATAAGCCCCTAATCTCAGCATTTTTTTAAAAAAAGTTTTAATTTTTCTTACTTACAGAAGTAGACAGACTTATAATGACTGTTAATTGGAAAAATGAGAACAATGTATTGATTCTCTGCTGTATGAAAATAAAAATTAGTGAAAGAATAAGTGATTTGAACTCAGAGGAAAATTATATTTTTGCTTTATACGAAGCTTGCTTATTACCACTTCCATCCTCTAATAAAAAAAAAATTAAGACCTTACAGAGAATTTGATTTCAAACTTAAATGTGTGCAATTTACATGAGCAACATTGGATGTAAACCACTCCAACTCTGAAAAATATTTGTTTCCATGCCATTATTTTACAGGAGAAGAGTCTCATGTTTTAATCTGTTTAAGGCATGATTTCATTTATCCCTTAACTTTTTCTTTTAATTAATTATATTGCCAGTCTAAACATGTCTATTTTTAATCCTGATTAGTTTCTTTTTATGCATATCAGTTCAGATTACACGTCCAATTTTTTGCCAAAACTTCCAGACATGATGGAAGTCACACAGTTACAAACTACATTAGTATTGTTTATTGTCTGGATTTCTCATACATTCTACAGGCACAGGAGCACTTATTTTTTTCTTCTATACGTTCCTAAAAGATTAACTAAATCTGAAATTCAATGTTCATCTGGTTGTTTTTTTTATTAAAAGCGAATACCTGTTTCAGAAATTGTAATAATTAAGCCCACAAATAAACCAGGTAAATCAGTCAGAAGTTAACAAAATAGCAATTATTCTAAACAATTTCAACATAGGTGAGGTTTTACTATTTTTAAAACAAATTAGCTACTCAGAGCCAATCTTCCCCAAAGACTTGTGACATGTCAAAATACAGCTAATTCTCCAACTTCAAATATTACTCCTACACCAATATAATGCTACTTCCTGCAGTTTTGGAGGCAAAATGGATTCTCCCTTTTCACAAAGAGTAAAATTATATATATATATATGTATGTATGTATGTATACCATAGTATATTTCAATAGCTCTTCTTTTCCTTTATGGTAATGTCTGGAGTAAAACCTTTTTGATTTTACCTCAGAAATGGAATGGGCAGCTGAAGATGGGAACAAGTACTTTCCAGACACACAAGTATGAGAGGACATGGTAACAGACAATATTTTTTCCCCCAGTCCTTGCAGTTTGGATAGAAGTTCATAAAATTAGGAAACAAGAAATTCAAACATTGCAAAAAACCACCAATAATCAGGCATATCTTGAGATTTCCTTGATTAAGATCCGAATCAATTCTAAGTCTTGAAGTCAAACTTCATGGGCACAAAGATCCTACACAGCTTTGTGATTCAGACATGGCTAAGTAGAAAAGCACGCCTTTGACCCAGCATTTAAGGTTAAACATCATTTATCTCACACAGAACAACTGGAGAGACCAAGGGTTCAAAGGAACACTTGCTTATAAACAACCTACTCAATTTTGTCCCCACTGAAAAAACTGTCCAAAGCAATTAGTTGAGCATCAACACTGAATTTCACCTCAGGCTAAAGCTATTGGAAATACTTGGATGTAATTTCCAGTTCTACTTAGCACTAATATATGTACCCTTGGTCAAACACCCCAGAATTTATAAATAAACTTACACTTTACATTATTAATCTGTAATAAAAAATAATCTCTAAAATACACCATATTTATATTAAATACAAGTTAATATAGTATGACAACTTAATCAAAACAGTGAGAAATCTTAATTTAAGATAAATATTGCTCAGACATTTTTCTTTGTTGCAAAATTGGGGGTTTTCTCTAATACAGTACTACTTTTGTAATTTTTTTTCTTTATTTTATTACTGTTCAGAGTGAATGGTGATGTAAATAGAAGCGACTGAAGAAGTGCTGGTACTTAGGTTGTTTAATTTAACCCTTACTTACCAGGAGATTCTCCTGACAAATCTGGGGCTTGGGATGAATCTACAGAAGAAACCACACTGACAGCATTTGTAGGAGCACCAATAGAAGCTGTAGAAGATGAAATGCTTGATTTCTTCGTAGGTACAACAACACTCCTAGGTGAAGACAAAAGATTAGTAAATCATACAAGTATGTGAATGCTCACACTACTGTGATCCTGTTCTTACACATCTAGCACTTACACTTCCATGTGCTGCAAAAGTTCCTTTGCTTCTCTACTTTCTATTTCAAATCACCTTCTGTAGGCCACGGTAACCTAAGGACACTTCACTTGTTGGTGGTACACCTTTTAAATGCTTTAATATCTCATCCACTTCCACAGAAACCCCTAACTAAAAGCACAAAGTTAGATGATCACCAGGAAAAGGGTTCCGAAACAAGGCTTTTCTTTGCACCTTAAGCTTCCCCAAGATTTGCTTTTAAACTTCAGGCAACTATTTACAAAAGATGTTGCAGTATTCAGTGTGAATTATCAGTGCTGAAGGATGCATTGACATACATCCAGGTATTCTAATGCAGAACAGAAGACTAACTGAAGAAGGATATACCAGAGCTAAAAACATCCTAACACATCTGCATGCACATACAAATGATCACATCTTAAAAATACAGCTAAGGCATGAATTTAAGTATATCTTGCCAATCAAGTTTTATTTACATAACAAATCAAAACACTCCTTGGAGTTAAGAGAGAATCTCCATCTTTTATACAAGCTAAATGTCAGGCCTTATAGTCAGCATTAAAGACTACATCAGAGGAAAAGATGTGACAAGTTAGGCACGGCAATTTATCTGACATGTTACAAAGACATGTATTTATGCTATACCAATTTCAATTAAATTGTAGTACTTCATTCCAAATACCTAAAAGGCCTTGTTAAACATACATTAAAGGCGTTTTTAATTGCAAGTTAGCTCCATAAACATGCAAAACCCCAGCTAATGAGGTAAAGAGTACAGCTGATATATAATGTACTCCCACTGCAGCGCTTACTTTTAATTACCTGGTGTTAACCATAAGCCGAAAATCTTCAACATTCAATTTATTTAATCACATCTTTTGTTGACAGTAATACAACTACACACTGAAAGTATTCCCTTAATAGCTTTAAAATATTAATTTTCTAAACAAAGTAACTCAGAAACTTGACCTAAATTCAGGTGTGAGAACAACCTAAGTTCTTTCAAATGTTTCTAAAACAGCTCCTGCTGGAATGGGGAAAGAAGGAATGTATTTGACTCCCTACTTCAGTCACAGGATGTTAAAGGATGTCACAGAAGCTACCACACTACTGATTAAATCAGCTCTCCTCAATGGCCAGAGTAGGCAGGCACCATATTTGGAGGCAGTACATGTCATATCATTATAAGGGTGACTGCTAATGTTAACTAGTCACTAGAAAAATAGAAGCAACAACACCTGAGTCCCAAGTCAAGATATTGTGCCTAAACCATGAATTTTGCTCATATGTTCATGTTTGTTTCCCTGAAACATGAACAATAGACTAAGAATAAGTCATACATTTAGAGCATTTTTAAAATTATTGTCACATTACCAATTAATTTTGCACCACCCAGGTATAAGAAGGGGATCTCTCGCTCAAGATTCTGTGACATTCACTACCTGGAAATTGTTCCTACTATTCTGTAACATACATTCAAACACCTGAAAGGGGTTAGGAAGTGAACACAAGTTTACAGAGTACAAATACACCCACGCACAGTTAACTTTGGGACATTTCTCCAACCTTCATAATACAGGACTGAAGCCCAGACGTATTCCTTCAGAGATTTTAAGTCCTTTTACTGTATAGATATCCAACTCAAGAAATACTAATCCATAATATTACACCTAAAAATGCATAACTTCTCATTATAAATATGTGTCTATTCAGGTGGACTCCATAAGACCTCACTGCCTGATCTGGAAAAATTTCTTTGCACACCCAGTAAGTTACAGAAATAATCATCCATTTGCTGCTAACTAATAGACACAATTATACTGGATATAATATACTGGATTAGAGAGTATGTTCAGTGACAAATTTCAGTGCACATGTAGATGGAAGTTGTGCACACATAGGTTGTGTCTGCTCAAAAACATAATTCACATAAATAATTTTAAATTAGAAAACATCAAATTACCTTGAAGGTAAAAACAAGTCCTTTAGAGAAGTTTTCTGTATCCTGGGCTTATAGTCAATCACAATTCTCTCAAAACATCAAATCAGAATGCACGTGTCCTCTGAATGCCTAAGAATGTTCTGGTTTTACTCTCTGACTCTAGATGAACTATGAAACAGGTGGTATTTAAGTCACAAAGAATAAAAAAGGCGTGGCCAGAACTACACCTTAAAAAATAAAATACATACATGGCAGAATTATGACTGAATTTAATATCAGAAAAGACTGCTTTCAGAAATGAACATGCTGGAAGGATTAAGGAGGAGTTTTAGAAGAGAAGTAAGCTTTAACATTACTAAAAGCATCTCCTCACAGGGCAAGTGGCAGCTCAGGATCTGTATGGGAGCAGATGCATGGAGCGAGGATGGCTGTGTGCAGACAGAGCTGTTACCTCAACAGTGTTCATCTGCAGCCAGCAACAAGGGCAGGCAAAAGAAATCCCAGCTCCAACAGCCTTCTGGCACAACACCCTAGATTATCATTTCTACCTGTAAGCTCCTACTGACCTTCAGTGTGCTTAACTGGGGCTGCACTGAGGGAGTATTTTCAGCAAACTGGCAGACACTCTACAGCTACCCAAGGAGAGGTGCATTCAAGGAACTAAGACTGTTTTGGGGTTTCTCCCTCTGGGCTGCAACAGACAGCACTAAATGACCAGAACAGTCCCTTCTGCCTTTTCAGATCTTTTGTCTACCTCCTCACCTTCAAATCTGTACGAGTTTGGGAATACATGTATAGCTGCTACTCTAATCTTCAGTAACTTACTTTCCATGAAGTATATGAAACAGGGAACTATATTCTAACACTTACTTCCAGTATAATTTGCAGCATCTAGCAATGGCATTCACTACAAGGAAGATACTCACATTACCAGCACCAGAAATCTGGCACTTCTTCTATTCACAGCTGCAAAATAGAGCTGCTACTTGGGTTTTTTTTTTTTAAATTACCCAACATCATTCCTTTTGCATTGATTCAAGGAATAAAAATTAATAACTACAGTTTTCAGACTTCGAAATACAAGAAAACATGCTACCTTATAAACAGGACCCAGGGAAGTGCCTGAGTATTCCAGAGTCATCACATGCTTCAAACAAGAGACAACAACTCTCACAAACTTTTCTGAGAGATATACATTGTTTACTATATCCCACTGAAACAGAAGCTTTTAGCTAAAGAATAAGACTTCAACAAATCTACTTCATAAATTCAACAACAAAAATATCCTGTTGGTCCTTGGACCCTTGTAAGAAAAGAGAGTCTTTGAACATCTCACCATAGAGCTCAGACTATTTCCAAACAGAATTTATTTTAGATAGTGATCTGGAACATTCAACTGAAATTACTGCTATTTTTGAGCAAAAATAAAATAAACAGTATTTCTGGTGAAGAAAGAAGGTCTCCCCCAAGAGCTGTGTCAATCTGATGCACACAGCCAAAAGGAGTGCTGGATATTGTTGGATACTGCTCGATATTTTGTTGGATATTAGAAAAGCATGATGCAAAAAAAAAAACCAAATTGTGAATGTTCCTGGTCTTCTGGTCAGCTGCCACAGCCTTTTAATGTAAAAAAATCCTTAAAGTAGTTCAAGAAAAACAAACCAAAACATCCAAGTATCCTGACACACTGACTTTCTAGCTGTGCACTGCTGCAGTATTGGTAATGTCAAATTTATTGCCATGGATGTCTTCTCTTTCAACAGGGTAACCAACCAATGGTATAGCTGCAGGACTTGTTTCAGGAGTTTCCACTTCCAGACCTTCTTCAAAGGTATGAAAGTACAGCTCAGCAATCACATACAGATGTTCACATTTGCCACATACTGGAAAAGCAAACTAAGATTTTTGAAGCATAAACATCGGTCATGCTTCTTTATTTACATTCTGAAATTCCTACATTTTTCCTTCCTTGGGTAGAAAAATGATATCTTCTTTGAATATTTAGGTGGAATTGCAAATGTGTTCCAAAGAAATATTTTTCCATTAGCTACCAATGTTCCTTTGTGTTCTACTTTTGAAAGATTATTTAAATGCTAATATAAGAAAAATGAACACAACTGGCATAAAGAATGTGAGACGGGAAAATTGAGTTTAAATATTGTAGCAAATAAACTACGTAGAAAACATGAAGTGTTCAGTGAATTATTAAATCAAGTAAATTTGTCAGAACTGTCTTAAAAATTAATGTGCTTTCAACTTCCCTTAAATAATAGGGCACTTGCTTTTAGAGAGTACACAGATAAGACAGGCCCTTTTCTGTAGCTAAACTGATAAGCATTTTTCTAAAAAAGTTAAGTGTTGCTACACATATGAATAAAATACTCATCAACAAGCTACTTTCTGTTTCCTTAGATCTACAAAAATAACATATTTTACAAAACATCTGTAATCATTAATTTTATCAGAACACATAAAGCAAGCTCACACAGGAGAAGAGACACATCATGTGGAAAAAAGAGCAACAATGTATTTTACTCCTTAACATTCACATCAATTACATTATATTTCTGGGTTACATTTGTACATTAAAACATTCATTATAATAGGTTTCAGCTACAGGATAAATAAAATAAAAACTGCACAAATACGCTTAAGGTCCCCTTCAAGGAGACCTCAAGCACCATGCTAAGAACACTTCAGCTGCCTCATTTACATGACTATATTAGATGCTTGCCTGTTCTCATTTAAAATGAAAACTTTAAGGTTTAAAATAAGAATTTACAGCAGGGGAACTGACAAACATAGGCCAGGCATAGTGAGAACCAGCCACCATAAATACATCTTAGCCAGAAGGTCAGTGTGTTATTAGTCCCAATTATGCTGAAGTGTAAGAAGTCTTCGTGTTGCAGACAATTATTCACTGCTGAATGAGCACAGACCACTGAGCTGAACACTGACTTCCATCACAGACAAAGGCTTACGCAATAATGATCTATTCTGACAAATTCCATACGGATTTACTTATTGAACCCTTCCCTGGTTTCAGTTCACTGATTCTTCCATTTCAATATAAAGACAGAAAATATCTGCATCTCCTAAAATTTTGGTGTTTTCCCAAATATTTACTTTTCATTAAGTTGTGAAGTCCCCATTTCATTTTAAATATATTTCAAGTTACGAATTTTCCTTGGGTGCAAGTCAAATATTCTTAATACAACATGAGGCAGCCCAAACTGATGACCTCACTGTAATTTAAAAATATGAGCTCTGATTCCTCTTGACATAGAAGAATTTATACAGATTTAATTCTTAGCTTTTATTTTTAGCACTGAAAAGCAATGCAGGTGACAGTTTGTCTGTACCCTGACCGGGCAATGGTTTTAATTCAAAACCAAAAGAAAATAGCCTTGTTCCAGGCTATCAAAACGATGTCCACTGGAAGACTCCTGAGCAAGGAGCAAAAGACCAATAAAGAGGATCAGAGACTTATTTTTGCCTCTATTTTGTGAGCCAGGAAAGCAGTCTGCCATGTCAGCATCCTTCTATGGGCTCTGCTGTCTGTGGATAATACCCATTATCTTATGTCTCCCTTGGAATATCCAAGGAGAAAGGAAGAATAAGAGGCTCTCAAAACCATGGGAGATCAGAGGACGTGGGGAGGGGAAGAGAAGATATGATAGAGAGAATACAATAAATTTTGCAAGAGAACTTTAAAATCAGTTTGGCAGGGAGAAGACTTCAAATGGTTTGCCTCTTTGGTCCCTGCAGAATGCAAATTGTTGGTCTGCTGAAAGAGCTGACCTTTCCATCAAAGCACATGTGCCTTGATCTAAAGATTTGCCATTCTCATATTCTGTCTCCATCTACACCTGGCAGATTTTATCTTATCAACAAATAGTTTATTCTTTTTGCATTTGAGGCCCAAATCAGTGAAGTCTAAGATATATCAATTCCATATAAAAAGGGACTTGGATGAAATTTAACTGAAATTACCACAAACAAACTACAAAGGCATATGCACACCACTGACAAATGAGTAAACACAGGCTGAGCCAAACTAAGCAACTTACAGATGATGTTCCAAAAACATAAACAAGCTTATTAACATATCTGTTCTGCAAGTTACAGCACAGCTGCAGATTTAAGCTCTATGATACAAGATCATGATTTAAGAGCCTATATTCCTCTGAACCCTCAGCATCAGTTTCCCATAATGACATCGTTATTGGATGCTTCCACATAGAGCAGCAGAAGTCAGGAGAGACCAAGGTTTTATTTTAAAGTGTACAGTAAAAATGGCAAGTGATAGGTTATGGGTTTTATTAGACTAACTGAAGAGAAATCTCTCTTTTTATCCCAAGCTTTGGTTATTTTTATTTCCATTTTATTTGAATTTGCTTGCATTAGTCCCCTCCTTTTTTCCTACACAATTACCACGAAATAAGAAAACTGCTGGTTTAGGACACACTGAAATCGGAACATTAATTCATGTCCCTGTGGATCTTGGGAAAAAGCCAAGCAAGCAAGTCTTGAAATTTATCATGATAAACTCCTGGCACCCACTAATCACAAGACTGTATCTTCCCATAAGATAAGGGGTAGATTTTTGGCATGGGAATGAACACATACACCTAGCTGTTTGCAAAGGCTTGCAACCTGGCAGCCCTTCAGTAAGGTTTCACTCACATAGCTGTTACTGTATACTCTCCAGCTATGGCTGGGAAGTTGATAATCCTTAAGATATGAGGAGAGTTTTGATTTCTGACACAGCATTCCTGAGATAAATGCAGGATCAGAGAGATGCTTTGAAATTCCCAGAGATACCCCACTGGTAAACTGCTACATGGGAACAACGTTTAACAAAGTGCCTTTAAAAAGAAGGAAAAAAAAAACCCTCACAGAATTTGTGTTTGCCATCAAACAATATATTAAATGTAAACCAGACACAGAAAAGACCATCCCTAAATCTGTTTTCCCCAAGAAAAATTTCACAACAAAACTTATTATTTTTGCCTACCACAGAGATGACATCTATTATTTCCAACTCTATTCCAGTTTCTTATAAAAAGTATGAGTTGTTTTTTTATCACTGGCACAATTCCTTCCTGCTATGGTAACTACATGTCATTTCAGAGCATAAACTTGTATTTTAAACAGTCTCACTACATAAAGATACAGCCACCTTCAAGTGGCCATGAAACTTGCCTGTCCATTTAATTTTCAATGTTTCACACAGTTATTCTCTCATTTTAACTTTAGCTAGTCAGCAACATGCTTTATCATATATCAACGTATTTACCATATGAGGGACTTTGTAACTATCCAGGAAAAAGAACACAGAACTGCAAGTGCCAGAAGGGCTGCTATCAATGCCCAGTATTTCATTGGTGTACATGTTATCAAATTAAATTGCATATCTTCCTCTGATAAGGTTTTGTGGGTGTAATCTACCTATGTCAGCCATCAGGGCTGCAAGTGCCCAATTATTTCCTGTCTAGTTAACCTCCTATATACCAATTCAAATCAGCACAAGGACCACAAACCTTTCATGTCCACAATAGCCAAAAAATAGTTCATAAATGCAATAGTCACTTCTGTACCAGATCTCCAGACAAATGTTATTTGTGTGGCTGAAACCATGCAGCAATGAATACTAAGAATTTCATGAGAAAAAAGCACTACTCACAGACTAAAACATTATGCTTTTTTGACATCAACTGCCCATTGCAGCAAAGATCGAGAGGCCACAAAGGGGAAGTGCCAAAAGCACTTGGGCAGCAGCAGGGAGAGAGGTGTGGCAGGCTCTAACTCAGTGTCCCGCTCCTACCAGTTCCCCCTCTGCCTCCATTATCCTCCTGCTCCCAGAACAAGTCTGCCTGTTCAGCATCACAAATAGAACACAGTATTTACTTTGAGACAAGAGCAAAGGGCCAAATGCTGTCATACCCCATCTGTCTGTGTCTCATCTGGCCAGACACCACTGTCTCTTCCCCCAGCAGTGATAGGGCAGTGTGAGGGGAACAGAGAGGCTGTGACAGCTGCACCCACACCCCTGGCACCACTGTACTCCTCTTGTGGGGCAGCTGCTATTTTGAACAGGGCAGCCACAGACTGCAAAGGCATCAGAGCCAGAGGAGGGTTGGGAATCAGCAGAAGATCAGATACTGGTATGGTAACAAGGGATCTCCTTGTACAAGACTGACAGCAGCATTTCTGGAAATAACTAAGGCTTTCCTAGAGGCAGGAATGCAAGTGTTAGACGATTCTTTCTTTTCTTTTTTGTTTTCTTTGCAGATGTTGCGAATCCTGAAGAGGTATAAGGCACTAAGTCTAGAAAAAGTTTGGTTTGCTATGCTTGGGAAAAGATAAGGAGCTAATGAGACTGAGACACAAGGGACACAATTTATTATTAGGAAAGAGTCACTTCATTCTAAAAGGAAAGAAATCAAGAAATCAATCTCCTTTTTGAATTCACTGCAGCATTTGAGTACTAAGAAATGCAGAAATTTATGACAATGAAACAGAAAGCTGTTACAACAGAGTAAATCTAACAGCTTAGGGATAATGTCTACCAAAAGAATAATGAGAAAAGTTAAAGTTGGCCTTTGGCAGAACACACATCTATTTTCCCAAATGAATATGAGAATACTCTCTAGGTAGAAGGGCACCTAGATGATTACTCTATTGTTTTTAAACCATTTGTAACTATTAGTAAGCCAGTATTCTTTTTCAGGCCCACAATAAGAGAGACTAGATACAACTCTGTGATGAATATACCTGCTAATCTATGTATCATTATTTCAAGTTATTTAATGTCTGTTTTGTTTCTTGAGTTCTTTAAAACCAACTTAATATGCAGTCCTCATCTGCCAGTGCTACATTTAGTAGTTCTGGTGAAGTGTGGGGTTTTCCTGTTGTTTACAAATACCTCAAGTAAAACCAAATTTTTAAGTATTTCAGATGTTACATTACCTGTCAAAGGAATGGAACTGCACAGGCTGCTCAGCAGCTCCGTCACCAAGAACTCCAAGGAAGGTTGGTGGCAGAAGAGCAGCATCCACTGCAGTCCCATCAGCTGGTGTGCTCACCAGGCTTCTCAAGATGTCCTTCACATTGACATTTTTTGCAGCTGGCACAGAAGCCACAGATTTACTCTCTTCAGTTCCTGTCTCACTTCCGCTCTCCTGAGATTTATTGACTTCTAACGAGAGCGTGCACAGGACTTCACTGACTGCATCTGGACCTGCACTGACACTCAGAGGTCCTGCTTCAGCAGCACCACCTGAACAGTTTGTTTGTGCTGGAGCTGCTTCCTCCCCAAGACCAGAATCCCTTCTCTGCATAGATGCTGTACTTTCTGAATCTTCAGTAGAGGCTGAAGCACCAAGAGCAACAGATGGGCTTTCCACGACTGTTCATGCCAAAAGACCAGAAAACACATTTTAAGGTCATTATTAACATCATTATCACAACATTGGTCCTAAAGAAGATTTCTACAGTATTTTAAGCCACATTATTTCATTTGGCAAATTAATTAATAGTTCACCTGCAGCAGGAGTCTCATTTTCATTTTCTGATTCCTTGAGTGACTGGCTTTGGTTTGGTGGTCGTCTTTCATTCTGGGGTTCCAGTATATCTCTGTATTTCGAAACCATGAGCACAGAAATAAAATATACAACAGCCAAAGCCAAAAACTGAGCCTGTTTACTATCTTCCTGTAAAAAACAGACACACAGATTTTTCCATTACAATTTCAGCAGTATGTTTATTTTTCTGTGAAGCATGCCCAGCACTACCATAAACAGACCGAGAGGGAGCTGACATGTCAGCAATGGAAGAACAATATTCTCTAGTCACAGTTTGTCTCAGCTATAAAGCTAAGGAATACAACACTTGTTGTATTCAAGTGGCACTAATCCTTACATTTTTCATTCATATGACAACTTTGGCTAAGGTTGTGTGTTTTGACTTCATGTTTCAAATTAGTGTAGGGTCTAGGTCCCCTTTACTCACAGGTGTTTCTTCTGTTACATTTCCTCAAAAATGCCAAGATATTAACAGCATTTGCAAAGCAAGCATAATCTACATGACTGGAACATATTAATGAAGGAAAAGGAGCAAATTCCAGAACAAGTGTTAAGGTTTTATTTCATTATCAAATAGTCCATATGGATGTCATCTACTATGTACAATTTAAACAAGAATTGACCAATATGCATTTGCATTACAGCTATAACTTTACGGAGATATTTTAAGAAAACCTTGAAAACAAATCTTAATATGAATTATGCCAGGTTCCTCCCCAGAGAAATCAGTCACTCCTAGTGAAACAGAGGGAAATGTGGACATAAAGATTTTGCCTAAGCCTGTTCTTTTTGGCTACCAAAGGCAAAAAGCTTCATACACTTTTGGGTCACAGGAGAATGAAGTAAGTATTTGGATCCTCACTGACTCATAAGTAATAAAAGAGAGTTTGGAGTTTTTACCTCTCATTCACATCAGGGCTCAGGTAACACTCAATTTTTTCCTCAGCAAGAGGAAGCTAAGTTACATTATCAAGCTCATTCTATCATGATTGTAGTGCCCATCAAAGCTCCCTATTCCTTGAAGAGCTCTTTAATCATTAATTATTCTGGGAGATGTTTATGAGAAGCTTTCTATTAAGAACAGGTAACATAGGTTGATCCTATCTGTTGCACCGAAAAAACAACCTATCTTCCCTTGGCCTGACCCTTAACTTGCATAGAATAATCACAGTGTGAGATTGAGGAAAGCCACCTACAATGGTAAGAATTATAAAGAATTTTCTTCCTAGATGGCTATTAATATGGTTTCTAACTCTATTTAATAAAGTAGGGATCCAGTGAATTAGAACCAACTCTTCCTTATTTTTTCAGCAGTGTTTGAAGAACTGCTTGAAATAAAGCTCATGTGTCACTGTAAGTACTGCTACTGGTGGGTAAGTGGATTCCATTAGAGTTCCTGCTGTAGAACTCATAGATTCAAATCATGCCACTCCTGGTTCTAAGTGCTGAATACAATGTAAGAAATTTCATGCAAATAAAACATTTAGATGCAAGTGTAAACAGCTCACACAAAAACTATTCCCAACCAGATCTTTCTAAATCTACTTTTTCCCCATAGCTCCACACCTCAGCCAAAAAGCAGAGCTATTGCATCATTTTATATTTATTGTGAAACAGAGAGCCTGATGGATTAGATATGCAAAAAAAGCAGAGGTTGTGGGTGGGTGTTGTTTTGGTGTTTTGTTTAAAAGAAAAAAGTTTACAAAATGTGCTTGAAGAAATCATTAGGATTACTTTCATTGCCACCAGTATAATAGAGGCACTTCCTGTTACTCTCTTCACACTGATATTTAAGTAGCAGTTGAAAGAAGCTTGCTTCAATCAATAATTACAGTAAAAATAAAACTCAAAATCCTTCACTTTTCTGGACATTATACTTGCTAAAGAGTCTAATGATTGTAAACCAAGTTGTGGTGTCCAGGCTTGTGGCCACCAATGAATCACAGCCATTATAGCTGCAGTATTTGCTTACAGAGGGGTTTTTTACAAGCAATCAATCTCAGTTTCCTCAATATCAGCTATAAAGTTGCTGACACAGGGCAAAGATATTTTTATTCAATCCAAGACTAAAAAACATGTGCATATCTACATCACCTGCACACAAACTGGTTCCTCTGATGGGAAATAAAGGAATTAGAGATGACCTCTAATTTCTAATTAGCTAGAAGAATGTGACTTTTTCAAAACATACAAACAGGTTTATGATACATAAACATAAACACGTACATTGTCTATGTACACATTTGTACTAAACACAACATAATTAATATACAACAGGCAGAAATCAATACTTAAGAACACAAAGAGCCAGACCAGGAGACAGTTGGGTTTCACCTCTCCCTCTTTTCAACCCCAAACACTACAACAGCTACAGAGTATTATGAGCTCCTAATTACTGCAAGCAGTATTCCCTTTTTGTACATCCAATTTAGCCAAACTCTGTAACACAGAGGAAGCATTCAGCAAACAGATACAAGCAGAATGCAAAGAAAAGGACTGTATTTACTTACTATATCTCTGAACACTACTGCTCGGAGGCGATTAATATCCATATCCTGCAGAAGTCTGTCATGGTCCCTTATTGGAGAAATGCCACCAGTCACAATGTCCACTGGACTCTATTAAAAAAACCCAATTGTTTAAAATCCTGTTTTTAAAAACACTCTACCAAGAATCATTAAGTGTGTACAATAACCCACTGTACATGGTATTGTCATAACTAGAGCAGAAAGGCCAGATGTGCATTTCATCTTTAAAGGAGAAAAAATCTGGACATTTCTTGCAACAGACTTAATTTCCAGCATTTGTGCCACCCCACTTCAGGTGTGTTAAAGTATCAGTGGTGCAGGTACAAATTTAAAAACTCATCCCTTTGAACACAGTAATCATTGTTAACTTATGTGTTTCTGAATGTGGTCTTTAACTTGCCTTTGCTGCAGATTTTCCTGATCCTACAAAACCTTGCACTGCTTTTTTATTCTTGCCAGTGTCTCCAATAGGCTTTATCTGTGCATGCTGCTGACACTCCAAGCAATTTCTTACTGCTATTGCACACACTTGAGGGGAAAAGAAAGAATGAAGAGTTATTCTGAGAAATAGTATTGTTCTATATTCCCTGACAGAAATGCATAATACAATTCTGTTTACCACTTAAAATTAAATAGTTTATGCACATTAGTAAAATACTTTGTCTCCTTAAGTTTTAGACAGTTGCAAAACAATGCTCAAAATTCTTTAATCATTTATAACTAAAAATAAATGCTAAACTATTAGAACATATATGCTGTTTCTAATGGATACTTCAAAGTGAGTGAGCATCCCTCACTGGAATTTTACCATGCATACAACCACAGGGTGGCTAGGGTGAAGACAGTTAAATTTTTCACAAACTAGCAATGGAGAAGACAAGTGATACACCACTGAAACAATGGTAACGTTTGCTTCACAATACTCTGTTACTCTTGGGCTAAATGTTCTGAAGTTACACAACTTTTTACTTTTTTTTTTTTTTTTTAGCTTCACATTTGTGCCCTATTTCATCTTCTAATATGTATTTTCAAAGGAAAAAAGAACTACCCCACCTCTATACCTGTTTGCATCCCATAAATCTTGTTCTACCTGCACAAAGTTTTAATTGCCTAGAAAGGGAGAGGAAGGCTAGTTACTGTTGAGGCTCTGAGCTGTTCTGGCACTCATGCAAATTAAACTTTTCATTAAAAAAAGTCTTACAGCATGCAACAAAGCATGAGTTCTCTCCTCCTATATTAACGACCTGGACCCTGCTATGATCTCATATATTCTCATTTTCAGAATATTTGCTACTCTTTTAGGTAACTGACCATTTTCTTTCAATCCAATTTGAAGCAAACATACTGTAATAATTGGATACAATTACTGCCCACTTTGAACCCTTCAGAAATTCATACTTCTAGTTTTCACCATACCTTCATATATTGACCTTCAAGTGTTAAACCTCTTATCTAAGTATTACAAAGTTTCCGTTTTATATATAGTACAAGATTACTTTTCTTAAGGTTGCTATATTCCCATCCTTAATTATTTGAGGAACTTTGGCAAAAGAAATATCCTCACAGATAAAATCAAAACAGGCTACCAAACTTAATTTATATTATTTAAACTTTTAGAGAGGAATATATATATATTTATATGCATTGCAGAATACAATAAAACTGAAAAAGATCTTAACGTTTGACTACATTTAGACTTGATTTAACAAAACAATGGACAGAAAAAAAAAACAAAACTAACATCTAACTACTTGGTAACTGCAAGCTCCTATGCTCATTAAATGGTCTTCATTTGCTTACCCAGACGAAGACATTGTCGCAGAATTCCTCCAGATGACATATTTTTCTCAGACTCAATTTCAGTGAAACCAAGAGAGCTTGCAAAAATTAGCACATCTACAAGGTTGATTAATCTCTGGAGAAATGTTAAAGATGATTCTACTGAAAGTCCTTGAGTTGGCTCAATATTCTCCAATTCATGCTAGACAGAGAAAAATTGAAAGCAACATTTACTTCTTCACAAAGATAATATCCCTGCATGCTAAATGAAGAAAAACATGCGCTGGAAGTCCACTATCAGTCACATTCAAAACTAGTAATTACTCATATTCTAGGAACAATCATTAGTATTGGGATTTAATCCCACTCAAGACCACTGTGGGGCAACAAAAGTAGGAAACTTTATTTTATGTTTTCAGGTAAAGAAGGCAAGCGCCCAATTTATCTTAGAGAAAGCGTGGAGGCAGCAAAGGGAGGAAAGAGATGCCTGTGGAAACACCCCATATGCATTTCCCATTTCCCAAAAGATCAGGAATAATAAATAATACACTCCATAAAGAAAGGCATCCTCCCACAAGTGAGAAATTTTCTAATAAAAATGGAATTTCTTACAGTAGCAGATGTGGCAGCAGAAAGCAATGGCAAGATACCACCACAGGCCATGATCATGTTGTCCATCACTTGAGAGATGAGATGGATTGTGTTGTGCACAAACACCACATTGTCACTGCTATTCACAAAATCCATCACAGTTTTTGTAGAATGGCTGTTCAAAAATTAAAAAAAAAAAAAAAAGACATTAAGAATAGAGCTTTATTTTGAGGGTATTTTAACATATTTCTGTTTTTGCAAAACTAAAACCAGACACTTAGCAGTGAGGCAGCAAATAATTCATGACTGTAAGGGTTAACTGATATATCTCAATCTAAACCTAAAACTACGTTTCCTTTCTGTTCATAAACTGCTCAAGATCATAGGTAGCTAAAAACACCAAGATGATTGCTAATTCTCATTTGTATAAAGATACATTATAGGCTGCTCTATGACTGCTTGCTAGCAAAAGTCACTGTATTAGGAAAGAGAATGAAGTCTCCTGGAATACTGAACTAGATTTGAACTTAAATATTTGGAAAACTAAAGCAAATACTAAGGATTTCTCAGAGAAATTAAAAGTCAACAAAGGTCAAAAACTTTCCAAAACAGAGGGTAAAATAGAAGTATGTTTTAGCTATATCTGATGATGTTCTGATATGTTAACTTAAACATATCGAAAAATTATAGCCAGACAAAAATTCACCTCAATTTAAATTGTTTGAATCATTTAACTACTCTATTTCTTTATCCTGACATTCCTTTTTATCACTCAGTACAGCTATATAGTTCAGTTTAAATTTGACACTTGCTACTACAAGCTAACAATGGATACCCCTCTTATTTCAGTTACAAAACCTTAAAATTCAGTCGCGGAATTAATGCTGTTTTTCGAAGATCTTCATGATTATATTCCAGATCCCTGTTAGAAGTCAGTCTTCAAATTAACATCTCTGGTTTCACAGAATCCTATTAAAGCAGCAACTCCATGTGTGTAAATGCAGAAGCAAGAAATACTATTCTGGGTATAATATCTATCTTTCTTATCCACATTTGGATAAGAATAGAAGACACAGGCCTTCAAATACATTAAATATACTTAAATATAGTTAGGAAAACTATAATCTTGGTTGAACAAAAATCAACAGCTAGACTGTCACTGACTTACATGTAGCCAGGATTTCTATACAAATCTGTGGGCAGGCCCTGAACCAATACACATTTATGTCTGTAAAGAGTCTTTAAAAAAATAATCTGAGAATAATTTGGTGTACGTCACAAAATAAGTCAAGCTACTGAATAATGAGTAAAATACCAGATGTCCCTGAGTCTAAGTCAATGAGCCTCTTATAACTGAACACAGTCTGGATCACTCGACATAAAGCACAGGATGTACCTTCTCCACATCTGAATATCTGTTTCTATGGAGAAGAGCAGGTCTGTGAGCAGGCGCTGGTGCATCAGTGACCACTTGAACTCGGGAATACGGAACACACCTGACCTCATGTCCCTCCTCTGCCCATCCGATGGAGCAGCCAGCTCCTGTCCTGAGGAAACCTGCTGTCTTGAGGGCTGAATGCACAGTTTGCAGACAAAAAAGAAAACAAAACACAAAACCCATACTCTGGTTATTAATTCTCATGGTACTGAAATGCATTTAACAGACTTGGGATTTTAGGTATCCAGCAAGTCCAGACTGTGTACGTGGTTCCAAATAAAGCTAAAACTATTACACAAATGCTATTTCATGGATATACCAAAACTACAAACTAGGCTACAGCTGCACTACCACACCTGCCAGTCCAGGTATTCACAAGCAGCCACCCAACCTTACCAGGGGGGTAGAATATGTTGCTGTAGAAAATGGTTTTCCTCCTTTAAGGAAGAATGGTGCAGACTGAAGAGCATCCGTTAGGAGGTATCTCTGCAGAAGGGAAGTACTCAGAGACATGACTATTTAACCATTAAAAGCTGGATTAGAAACTAAAGACTAGAGGGCTGAAGCACTGCAGCACACAACAGAAGCCCAGTCATAATGTATACTTGTACAAAAAAAGGTTGATTGACATTATGTAGTGACAAACTTATCAATTTTTATAGTTTAAAACAACTGAGATGAAGTGTCCATCTAGTCAAATACTCAAGTTTATATCAGCATTCATATGTGGATGTACAAAAATCTTGGAGACTTCCCAATACACAAATTATTAAGAATAATGGCTATTTTCACCCAGGGTTAAAAGTATTTTATAGCTTACTCACAAAAATCATACACATTATAACCCCCAGAATGTTTAGGTATGCTTTCTCAAAAAATTAATAAAAAATAACTTCCTTCATTTTTAAGGTGGACGGATGAAGGACAGGTAGAATTTACCTCAGGCATGGATCTGGGGGGCAGAGGTGCTTCTAGACACATGTTAGCTTTCAGCTCCAGTCTTTCTGTATCTGATGCAACACTGGAGACATCAAGCTTGGCAATTCTTTTGTCAGAGGCTCCAGCAGGTTCTGCCACATGTGCATTTGCGTTTTCCACAGTTGTTTTGGTTTCACTAGTAATTACATTTCCTTCCTTCAGCTTCTTTTTTCCTGCTGAATCTGGCTGAGTTACTACTTCTGGAACTGCAGAACTCACCATCTCTGGCAAAGTCAGCTCTTGTTTCTTCTCATCCACACTTTCAGTACCCTCAGATTTTAAACGCCCGGGTTCAGGTTGCTTCTCTGGTGTTTCTTCCTGCTTTGTCACTTCGCTTGCATTAGAGTCACATTCCTTGTTTCTTTCTGCAAGTTCTTCTGAAGGTAAAGACAAACTACTTTCATCTTTCAAATCAACAAAGTCATCTTCATCTTCCACCTCTCCTGATAATTTTTCCAGTCTTTCTGGACTAGTGGGAGTTTCTCCTTCCACAGGGGTTTGCATGGCTAAAGAGGCAGCAGTGACAGCAACTGTTTCTTCCACAAGCTCAACAGCTTTGTTAAAATCTTCAATTGCTTCAGCTATTCCAGTACTGATTTCTGACACACTGGCCTTCACTGTTTCTGGTTCTGGAGAAAATTCCACACAAGGCACTGCTTTTAAATCCTTTGTAGTACCCATATCCTCCCCCTCTAATTCCTCCTTATGATTAGACACTGAATGAGTTTGTTGCCCACCATCTGATGAGTTTTCTTTCTCATTTTTTTCAGTTCTGCACTGCGTATCACCAGCAGTAATGCAAGAATGAGCAGCAGCATTTTCTTCTAACTCCAGAGATTGTTGTTTTCCCATGGTTTCAGCTTCTTTGCTAATCCCAGAGATTGTTCTAATTGGAGTTGAAGAATGTACTCCACTCCCTTCACCTCCTTTCCCTTGGTACTCCTTGTACATTTGGGAAAGACTCTCCTTGTGCATTTCAAAAGTCACCTAAAAGGATCAAGTTCAAAGGACATTACAAACTATATATTAATGTCTGTTATCTTGGAAAAAACAAAAATACAAAAAAACAAAATTGATACTCAAATCACAAATTTATATTGTATACTGTTATTTCCATAAAGAAACTCCTGCACTTTAGATATTACTTCAACTGACAGCAAGTTTTTCTTACATACATGTACCTGGTTTTCCTGGCTAAAAGGAAGAAAAAAAAAAAAGTAAAGCCAGTGTCAAAAAATCCCCAACTGGACTGATCCAAAGGACGTCCTAAGCATAAGATCCACAGAATTACTATATTTGAAAACCTCTATTTTTTTGTGAAGGAGAAGGCTGGAAGAAGTAACAGAGCTTTCACATCTTTTTAGCACCTTTAATATGCTCAGAAATCCACCAAGATACATAATCTTATGAAAATTTTACACTATGAAGTACAATCTCACAAAGTCAGAGCAAAGAGAAGCACGTAACAAAGCCAAAATCCTGTGGATCCCCAAACAATTCCTAAAATTCTCCAGAGGATATTTCCTCCAGTGAGTGCTATTCACCCCATCTCAGCCTGAGAAAAGCTACACAAACTGGTTAACGGGAAAATACTTCTCTGTTCCTCACCTGAGAATATTATTGTTGTTTCTAGGTATTTAAAAAAAATACCCAAATAGAAAAATTCTTTATATACACACTAATAAATCTCATTTGCCCAAACAAGTAGCTGTGTTTTAAAAAATAAAATATCACTAGACTAACTTTTTATTACACTGTTATTCAATTTAGTTTATCCATATCTTTCCACTTAGGATTTAGATTTATACTCCATAGCACAAGTGTTTATTTATCTGTAAGCTCAGTTCTCCAAAATTTTCTCAACATAAGCTCAACCTGAGTGTTGTTTTTTTAAAATCATTTTCTGTATCAAACATTTTCCATAGCCAAAGCAAAATAGTGCATTCCACTAAATCTATCAATACACTTTTCCTCATTCTCTTACATACTCAGCTCATTCATTTGGATCTCATCTAAAAATTCAGTGTACATGTTATGTAAAGTGATGATTAGTCAGTAGGAATATTTTCCCTTAATATGACACAGGGAAGTCAAAAAATGTTTTTTCAGATTAAAAAGATACTAGAAATTACAGTTGACAAATCAGATATAAGCAAAGAAAGGGAAAACACAAAAAGTACTTCTGGCAGGTTCTGATGTCAATATTAGCTTTTTAACATACTATTTTCTCAATTAGTCAAGTATCCTAAAGCACTGCAGGAGCAATGCACTATTTTAACATGATTGGAAGTATGTCAGTCCTTCAAGTTAATTTAATTGAACTTTAGTGTCTAGAAACAGAACTGGGATATCTCACTCTGCTTGCTTAAAAAAACCCCAAAAAGTAGTCTTCACATACTAGTTTTCATTCAGTTATGCACAAAAATGAAGTGTGAATGATTACAAATGCTTGAGAATTCGTCCATCTGTCATAATGGATCCATAAATTATTTGATTCTAGGGTTTTGCTAAAAAGAACCTGTGGGGGGCATTATTACTTGAGAAATACTTCCTGAATTGTACCACAATCAGAATATCAAAGTCAACACAAAAAATCATGCTAATAAGCTGTCCCTTACATTTTTCACTTGTCTTCCAAAACATGATTAGGTAAAGCTGCTACTTTAGGTCTAATCACTGCTTTTCTGAAGAAGGAAACTTAATAACTTGAACTTATCTCCAGCTAGCTTTCCCTCATTTCTCTCTCCCTGTTGCTCCCTCCATTTCCAAAACTACTAAAAACCTTTGTTCCAGCATACACTAAGAGATATTTAACAAATGAAAATGTCATTGTTTGATTTCAGCGAAACTTTTATGTACTTCCCAGAAAGCACACTGCCTCATAATATTTAACAGTGTGGACATCCATATTTTCATGCATCATTCTAGTGTAAACCTCATATGTAGAAGTAAAAGTTACCAAGTTTATGGCTTGTCACTTTCCATGAATACAGTCTGTAGGGCTGGCAACTGCTTTTGGAGAAATGGGCAATCAGTTGCATCTCAGCTGGTACAACCTGAGACCTATTCTTTCTCTATATTGCTTTTTTCTAGTGTGCTACCAAGCCCCTTCCCCTTAACAAAAACCTATTGCAGCTTCAGATTTTTCCTTACCAGACAAATTGATCATCTGGTTCACAGCCTTAAATCAGCCTCACTTGAAAATAAGTCAAAATCTGTTTTTCATAAATCAGGATTGTGAGCTTGCTTTTACTCTCATCCCTCCCCCAGAATCCTGAACTCCACTATCTCATGGTCACTGCAGCCAAGGCTGCCTCTGACCTCCACATTTCCAACCAGTAAGATCGGTATGATCAACATTTAAAAACACCATGTATGGTACAGGGATGCAAGACCATTTCACAACTGATTTCATCTAAAACCTGGAACAGGCAATGCTTTGGAAGACATTACAGAGCAATACTGAAAATGAAACTGCACACTGCAGGATTTTTAATTGCTACTAAAAAGAAACAGAAACAAAGACCAGCAAGAAGGTCAATGCTGACAACTTGTCTTCACAGGTAGATAATGTAAACTTATGGGCAAATAAATCCAAGGAAAATCTGATGAGAATCTATGCTGATTTCAGAACAATGAAAGAAACCGTAAGGAAACACTGGTGAAGAAAATTAGGCTGTACAGAACTAAAAGAACAAAAAAAACCACTCAATGAGGATAGCAGTTTCTACTTTGACCATAAACACTAACCAGAATTCATGTTACAATGTATTAAATACTGACCCTTAAATAAAACTCAAAATACCAAGGCACAGAATTAGGAAGACCACATTAACCAGTATTTTTCTAACATCCATTTTGAGTCCAGAGGTTTCTCATATAACAAAAGGATACAAATTTCAGAAATTCTGCTTTGTAAAATCCAACTTTACAAGAGCAAATTTTCAGGCTGTAAAAACACTTCTGTTCAATATATCAATCTAATTCAATTTGACAGGAAACCAAGAAATTGTGGTTCTACAAAGGAGGCACTAGACAATTGTTCCCCTACAAACTCTATTGCATGATGTGGTATTTGAGTACACAAAGCCAAACTATACATACAAAACAAAACACCTAACCTAATTTTTGTTAACCTAAGGTTAACAAAATTGGTACCAACAAAAATGCAAAATGAAGTAGAAATTATGATTACTAAAAGCAAGTGCACAGAGTACATAAAGGTTTTAAAGATTAAACATTAGGACCTGCAAGCACACAACAATTTACAAGACCTTGAAGAACCCTAAATGTATGTAAGTAATTTTTTCATTTTCCTTAAGGCATTTGCAACTGTAAAGCTGATAATACAAAATTAATTACCAGAAATTGTTCTAAATTAGTGAGCTAAAAGGCCAATCATTAATCTTCACCATCATTTGATGGTTAATCCATAGCTGTCTGCAATGCTTGGAATGCATCTCTACACACTACCAGTTGAAGACACTTGTGAGCTAATAACTGCAACATTTGCCTCTGCCATTAATTTTAACTTAATTTGACATCCAACATTTACTAATTGCCAAGGAGAAAAATTAGCATCCAGCAATGATAAAGAGTAAGATGATTGACATTTGCATTAAAGAACATGGAGAAAATAATTTAACTATACATTAAGATTTAGGCCTTTTTTTCCATTTTCACATGAGCAATTTCATAGAGCAGAGAAAGGAAGGGAATATTTTTCCAGACAGGTCAGATAATCATATATATTTGTTTCCTTATGAGTCTGCTCAATGCAAACCAGCTCCTGTCACCCTGAAAATTAAACCTTCTGATAATGTTTTCATAGTTTTAGTTACTTTCCCATGAGAGTCCTGTAAACATGAGTTGTTTATCACATTCCTTCTACAAAACGTCTTTTGATGGACGTTTCGCATGACCAGTGTGCTTGGGTAGGTGGTAACTTAATTATCCAAACCCTGGTCATTGTTGAGAATCTGTAAATCCTGGAGTTAGAAAATAAAATCACAGGTTTTTGTTCTGACATTGAGAGTGGTCGTGTGAATCATTTTGTGTCCTGTAGTGTCAAGCTCCTTTGCTGGTTTACATAAACTCTTCATAATAAATGAATAAACTCTTTGTAATTCCAAAAAGCATCACAACCTTTTAAATCTTAACTAGAACGTTATTGACCTGCTTTTTTCACTTCTTCTCCACTAACACTAACAGTTTCAAAAGTGTAATTCAATCTCTAAACATAAACAGGCCTGTTTAAACAGAGACACCACTATCAGAGATATCAAAATTAATTTTAAACTCAGCAAAGGAAAAGCTACAAAGGTACTGTGTGCACCATGCACTGAGTTAACAGTCTGTAACTCCCTGACTTGAGGAATCTCTGGGCTATTTCTGAGTGGTTCACAGAAGCAAGCTAAGAAAAGCAAGTTAAAATATACTTTGTAGGACACTACATATGAAAGGTTTCTTGGAGTCTGAACTTCCACCAGAAACACATTCACTGATGTACAAGGTGGGGGAAACCCACTGTTTCAAGATGGTTTCATGTTCCTGTATCTTGCATTTTCACCTAAGAAGCAATAGTTCTGCCTTTTATTTTTTACTCATCTTGAGAAAAAAAATAATTTCTACAATAAGATTGCAAGTACTAGTCAATATAATTCATAGAAGTCTGCTAATCTGAGGGACAATTTTACTTTAAATCAGGTCAAGGTATAGCTTATTGTTACATCATCATACAGCAATAAATTCAAACTGCATCCCAAACATGTATCAGCTCATTTTCACTATGGAAATTAATGCTTTTAATGAGTTTAAATTGCAAGATATGAGCACACACAATCTTCTCAAGATATGTATTTTCTATCTCAATCCCTGTCACCATTCCTACAGTTCAAGGGACTGTCAAACTCTGTCTTGTACACATTTGATATTTAGCTATTAACAAAAATATTCTGTAACTAAAGTCAGCTTTTGTCACCCCATTGTTACAATGTCCAGCAACAGGTCTTATGCACTGCTCACTTCTGCCATCCTTTTCTAGTATCTCCATATATTGTTGGCAGCCCTACAGCAAAGACTCCACATCCATCATTTCAAGTAACGGCCAGGAGCCCTAATTCAGGCCCCACAATGTGAACAGAAGTAGCTGCAATTATAGAGGAGGACTGCTTCAAATCGCAGCAACAGCAAAGAAAACTACCAACCATTCTTGAGGCTGCAGACACAGGTCCCATCTTCCAAATATTTTTTACACCAAGTCATGATGAGTCTCATGAGATGAGACTCCTCTCTCTCCTCTAGTCTTCTTTACATATGAAGACTATTTCAGAGCTTTTTGCCTCCTTATGCACTCTCTCCACTGCAAATGTTTCCTTAATTCTTCTTTTTCAGAGTTCTGGCACTTAGTAGCAAGTTTCTATTACACTCTTCTTTTAAGGCTTCTCTAGAGCTTTATAAAGGCCTTTATAAATTCCCAGTTTACCTTGCTCCCTCCTATTCTCATTTCTTTCAGTTTGGATTAGTCAAATGTTAACATTCTGCAGCTTTATTCATGACACTGTACTTCTTCAAAACAAGTGAATAATGAGATGGAGGAGCTCCCCATTAACCATACAGGCTGCATGTGTAAGAGCCCATCACTGGTACACACCTCTGCCTGCTGAACAATGAGTATACTTTCCTCTCCCTTGGGCCACTGGTTAGAAAAGCTTTCCCACAGAGTTGCTACAAAAGAAGCTGTAACAAGGAAACACCTGGTAAAGGTGAGGGCATGTATCATCACAACACATCCTGGGGTGTGCACAGCTCTAAAGGAGCACATTCCAGTCTCCAAGCTCCTTCTGCTCTCCATAACTCAGGTGAGAATGACTTCTATGTAGAAAAAGTAATATTTATTAAAAATAACTATTTACACCATTAGAATGAACATAATATTGAATAATTTCAAGGGTACTCCCAAGCTTTGCTCCACTGACATATTGGATATGGGACAAGTGAAAACCAAAAACCTGCAGTGGTACAATGACCCTCTGGGCCAGGTACCTCTGCCTCCTCTCAGGGCAACGCAGATACACTTTTCAGAGGACCAAAGAATACCTGAAGACTTCAAAATTCCCTGGAGTTGAAAATCTCTGTTATGGGAGAGCAGGAGACTCTCCTGCCCTCATGACAGGGATAAAAAACAGACAAAACCTTCCTAAACAAATCTTGGATGCCAATGGGATTTGGATTCCAGATTTTGATGGTCTCTTACCTTCTAAAACTGAGCCACATTCACTTCTCTGCAAATTAGTTTTTTAATTGCCACCGTATAATAACTCCTCTACCACCCAATCTCTGCAGCTTTTGCCAGTTTTCCCTCATCAAACAGTGATGAAAACCTGGCAAACACAGCACACATAAATGTACTGGGATTCTTTCCCCCCACTTAAATTAAATGGACAGGGCATAAGAGAATATACAAATTTACTTAACACTCACAGTGTTTATGACAACTGAACTTTAGACTGAAAACTGACAATTAGTAAGAAATACACTGCACTGTAAGGTCTCTCTATTAACATTTTGAGATTATAATTCTCATTCACATCAGTGAATAAAATGTTTCCACTTAAATAGAAAGAGAACTGCAACTTACACATATCAACATTTGAGACTTACTCGCTGAAAATTTCTTGAGCAACTAAAAAAAAAATAAAAATCAGTCTTCACCTGAATATATTTCCTTTAACAGAAAGGTAACATGAATCCACTTTTATGTAGTAAAATATATTTAAGGGACTGAAATAAGCAGATGGTAGTCTTCCCAGTAGTTTGAAACATTCAGATAACTTAGGAGTGTATTATACTGTGCAAATAATTTTATTCTTTTAAAATTTGGGAAAATAAAAGGGAAGCTGTCCACCATTCTTGACTTGGCCTAGTTAGTATGGTTGCAATGTTCAAAAAACAGAAGTTCTTAGATGCTTTCATATATTCAACACTGGCCAGTCAGAACAAACCGGAGTTCTGATTTAATTTTTCCAATATTTTCATTGAACTAGAAGCAACAGATTAAACACCTTTGTATACAATGGCTTAATATCTGCAAAGCATCAAAAATAATACAGACATAAACAAAATACATGAGTAATACTAAGAAATTTGATTTTTAAAAGGTGTACACATGTACACACCTTTTAAATTCTGAGTGCAAGGAAGTCAATGCAGTGCAATTATGCTGGAAAAGCCACTGCTGCTTATAAAACGCTGTGCAGCTGTTGGAGGAGAGGGTTACATTGACAAACAGCTTCCCTGCTACAAAGGTGGCAGGAAATCTATCAAACTGGACAATAAAATTGCAATTGAGTTTCTTTGGCTTTTTATAGCAGCCGCATGTATCTTGATGTGTAGCTCTGCAAAACCTATCCAATTCTGTACACTGGTCCTTTATGTACTAGTTCTTTATCATAGAATGGTGTTATAAATTAGTGGCATGAACGGCACAGAGGGCTGTAAAAAGGAAAAATAAGCAGTAACCCAATACAATTAGAGATGAAATAGGAAAAACCCAAATTGGTTATTCTCTTTCTAATGTTAAGGAAATATTTTTGCTCCCATAATTCCCACATTACTTTGAAAGCATGCTAGAAATCAAAAATATCTGAGATGCACTTAGCATCGAACAATTTGCTCACTGAATTATGCCTATACCAGGTTATGTGTGAATCTCTATGAATCTCAATAATGGTATAACAGGATACAACACTATTTAAAATAGTAAAATTAACAGGATTAAAAAGTCATTATAATTATCTGTTTATAAGGACATTTTTCAAGAGCTTTTTTTGTGATTTATCCTAATTTATGTTTATGTAATTAACAGGCAACTCTGAAGTATCATCTAGTTTTATATGGCTAATTGCATGAATTGGATGACAAAAAAAGTTCAAATGGAAAGTGCATAATAAAGGTGAAGTTTTAATGTCTTGATAATGGCATCATCATTCACAACAATATTGTCAAGTTAGTTTCTGGCCGCTTTTGCTGTTTAAACATTCTCATTTCAGCTTCTGGAACTAGTACTAGATATCCAAACAAACTGAATTCCTCCATGAGTCCTTCAATATTCCACCACCATACTGCCCACACTCACACTCTTCCAAAGTTGCCATCATTCAACTTCTTCTGAAATGGGCCAGAAGAACAGACAGATATATATTGACCAGAAAGTCAATTAAGTTAGACTTGGGAAAACTTATAGGGAGCTACTGCTACAACCAAGGACACCTCTCTATTGCAGCATGCCAGGAACCAAAAATGAGAAACACAGGCTGAAATAGGTCATCCTCTCATTCACTATGGCATTTCACAAAAACATACAGCCTTTAAAATACAAATTAATAAACCAGACCAACATTACCTATCTCTATCTATTTTTTTTGGTCTTTTCTAAAACTGTGGGGTTTTGTTCTTGACATTTGGTCATGGCATCACAAAAAAATCTTGGGTTTTTTCTCTAGGAACTCTAGATCATTGATTAGCCACATTAAGTCACTGAAGAGTGTGACCAAAAATCCATATAACCTTTCTGACATATATGCTGTTTAAACAAGATTTCTGTCATTACATTATCTTACAAAAGGAGTCTAAGAATAGAACTACAGATTATAAGATAATGTACAAGCTCATTTTTAAATTCAAGACACCAAAGCTCTGAATAACAATCAGAAAGATGGTCTTTCTTTATTCACCTCTCCATCTTTCCCCAGGCACAATTCCCAGCAATCACACACATGCTAAATTATGCCAGTTTTATATAAAAGCACATTAGGGATCTTTACTCTGGCTACAGTTTGCCATTGTACAATTCACCCATGCCCTCTGCATCTTGGGCAAAAAGAGAAAACTGGTTTTTGAAGACTGCAAAGCCAACAAAAAAGAATATTAAGAATGTTCCGACACCTAAAATGTGATCTCTGTAAGACTTAAAAAAATGTGGCCCTCAGTGCTTTGCACCAGAATTCCACTTAGACTGTTTAATAAAGTTATTTCACCCATCTTTATTACATAGATTTCTACAGTTGTCTCCCCGTAGCTCAAGAATCCACCATCAACCTCTGAATGCAATAAATAGAGCTGCAAAATAACAAGTCTCTTGCTGTCTGACATCTTTTAAGAAAAAAAATAATCCAAAATCCAAGACCTCAGAAATGCCAATAATTCCTTAGTATCATAAAGTGATCTTTTGGATTCACAGATGTCCTTTTCACACTGCTAAGTTGCATGCATTTAGAAATAGGTAATTTATTATTTAATTCATTAGAAGTAAATATTGTGATAATCAGAATAATTCTAAGGCCCACACTGGCCTCACTCTTTTGTTTAGAATAAGGCAGTAGAAAATACCTTTTGTACTACTGTGCCTTATTCAGAGAACCGCTAATAACTTTCATGATGTAACTCTGGTTGTAACAATGACAAAATTCAGACAGAACAAAGGGTAATAGTCTCATTCATACTGCAAGGATTTGTACTTCACCCCATATTCCATGACAGTTTAACAGTTGAAGCATCTGCCTTAACTTGGATTTCTTTGCTTTTTACTCATTTTTTTTACAGCCTTTTGATGTTACTAAAAGGTATTTTTGTTGATGAATAGCTATGGTGCGCCACCTTGTGTTCCTGCTGTTACTAAAAAGCAAGACCAGCACCAAAATTTTTCAGAAATGCACCTGAAATTTGATTAATCTCACCTTTGAATGTGTGATTGACAGTGTATCCACCCACACACGCCAGCCACCCCACTCATATTTTATCGCGTGGTACAGCAAAATCCGAAATATGGTGTACACCATCTCAGTTATCTTCTGCTCCTCAGAAGTCTTTGGATTAAAACAACAAAGGGAAAGCATCCACTCCTGCCAGACAGAGCACTGCAACAAACTCCTGCAAAACACACATGCTATTGAATCATATTTTAAAATATATCTTACAAATATATCCAACAGCTAAATCAAGAATCCAACATGCTTAAAAAAATTGCTACATGTAAGCTTCTCTAATTTTTCATACTGAAGACTTCGCTAGAGTACAGAATTTGCTGAAACAGCAATGAAGCTGTATCTGCCCACATGAGTTTAATTTACTAGGAAACCTTCTTTACTTTATATACTCGTGCATAGAGCAAGCCCTCTTACCTCCTGTTTTCTCTGCTGTTATTAAACAGTTTAATCATATCTGAGAGAAAGGCTCGCCGGACCTCCAGAGTTTCTGGACACTGTGGAGAATTACGGATCAGGATTGCAATAACCTTCAAAATCTCTGTAAAACAGTTCACGAGTAACAAAATATTAGGACTAAACATAGCATAAAACACAAGGCCTCTTCCAACAGTGTTTGTACAAGGAAAGTGACACGACAAAGTTTTATACTCAGAAAAAGCACATCTCTATTGGAGAAGGTTTAAGTAGAACAAATCCCTTCTTCCAATACTTTTCAAGCCTAGTCACGCATCAGGGGGATTTGAAGGCCTCTAAAGTAAACAGAATTCATTGAATTGCCATGTTTAAGCAACACAAATATTACTGCATGACAATTTATAAGCTATCAGAACCTGTCAGAACCATTTTTACATGAGGTTCACATAAAAAGCATCCTTTAGAAAAGCAACCTATGAGAAAAGTGCTCTACCTTATGAGATTTTGCTCAACCTTAATAATACTGAATTTTCAAAGAATGTGACCAACTTCCAATTAAACTTAACAGTTTCTGTTATAAAAAAACTTCCTAGTATCAAATTTTATCTCTTATAGTCACGTTTTCTGTATTTTAGTAGGTCAAAACTGAGGGTACATCACACTTTTTGAAGCAGTGGGGAGGGTGACTCATCTTGTTACTTTAAAAGAAGTCAACTTTGTAAATTAAGTAGGGTGCAGTTTGAACACAGTCACTGTGATAGTTGCAGTTCATCTTGTACAACTTTTTTCAAGAGAAACTCCTTATTTGATAATAGCAATGATCTAAAAAAGGGGCTCCAGAAGTCACTCTCCCTATCAGACCTAAATAATTTCAGAATCAACTCAGTCTCTATATAGTTTATACTGACCACAGCAGTGACTGTCAACTTCAAAAATCTTAGGAGAAAGCAATAGAGACATGCTCACATCTTGCTTCATATAGATTTACTAGAATGAAAATGGCACAATGCAACCAGATTTCTTTCTTCTGCATCTGCTTTGCTTCTTTTCCCCCATTTTCCACCTGAAGTAAACCTACAACTGTGACCTACATTTAATGACAAAGCAGCTACAAAAGAGAAAAATCTGTTATTTCTCCAGGAAAAAGTTAACTCCCAAAGCTATCATAAGTCCATTGTACTATGTACAGAGCACATTGATAATGTACATGATTCTGGAAAGGATATCATATTTTCTCTAAGTTCAAAAGACATCTGAAGTTTCATATCAAGGTATTTCCAATAAAGTAAGCTAACCAAAACAGTGAACAGACACATTTCTCCTATTTGCCACCTAGCATTGTCATACTGGATGTAATTTAAGATGAAAGGTGTTTCCTTATTTCAGGTAATTTAGTCTGACATCACTAAATAATGCATTCAGAATTTTGCTGGAATCTTAACATGTATTAAATCAAATTATCCTGTGCATCCATGTCTTGAAAAACCTTTCCATAACATGACTGCACCACCAAAACAGGCGAGTTATGATCTACAGACACATAAAATGTCTTTTGAGAAGCTATAGAGACATACTTTGTACATAACTCCAACTAAATACAAGTTATCTTTCTTTTAGAGTGAAAAAAAACTATAAAACTGAGACTAGAAGACTGATGTAATTAGCGTAATTAACTTTTTCATTAGTAGCATTCTTTAAAAGCAGACTTTTCTTTAGGTAGCACATAAAAATGTGTATCATTCTTACGAGGATTTTGTATCTTCACCGTTGAATCTGGGTCAGGATGTTGTTTATGTATTACTTGAGTGCAAATCTGTTCAGTCAGAATCTAGCAAGAAAGAAGATGCCATATCAATGTATATGAAGACAACACTGAAAAATAGTTGGATGCAGCACAATCATCATCATTCTAAAAACCATCCCAAAAAACCCCCATTAATTTTCTTGATAATTTGTTTCATCCTGTTTCTAAAGCTCTATAAGCTACCTAATTTTTTTATTTCTCTCAAGTGCATACTGTTATTTAAAATACACTGGAAGATGAATGTTAATCTAACCAAAGCAATTATCCTAAGGCAAGATCATTGCTATAATAAAATTCCACATCTCCATGAGCATCTGCTTCAGACATACAGGTTACTCATTATCTAGAATTGTTCATAATGAGCATAACCAAGTTAAGGAGGGGGTAAATCCAAAGTAGTGAGCTTTATGGGGGGGAAAAAAGCAGCATTCAGCTGCATCACACTATGGTTTAATGTCATCTGGAACGTATCAGCACAAATATGTAAGCAATTTTCTAACAATGTCTTACAAGTAATTAGAAAGATTGCATCCTAACTACAGTGTATGACTACCTCAAACAGGACATTGTACGTGGTCATGGTGAATAAGCTTGTCTGAAGCATCAGCCTTTCAGCCAACAAAGAGAACAATCCATGTCCAAGCATGACTTCAGCTTTTCTCCTAAAATGGTAGAGAAAGATGAAATAAACTTACGCATTCCATTTGCTTTAGGGGAAAAAAAGTTTAAAACGTGTGCCTCAAGAAATACAAAATCACTGGTAAGATATTTTTCTTGTTTGTTCCTTAATCCTTTACTTTTGGTGAAGGAAAAGGGGAAGTGTTAAAATTCTGAAAGGTCAAATCATTCCCTGAAGGCAGCCACCTTTCTTCCATAAATGAGGTCCACTCACCCATGGGCCCAAAAAGCTGAAAAACAGCCTTGGGGATTTCTTGATAAGCACTGAGGAAAGGTTTTTTGCCCTCATTTCACTCAAAAATGCAACCATGGACAGCAATCTCAACAGTTATCACAGTTGACTCAAGACATATTAAACCTAGTTCTCAGTAACATGGGGTTCCATCTCACCAGTTTAATTCTTGCTATTCACTTCTCTGGAAAAGAGTCACTTTAAAAAGCAGAAGACCATATTGCAAGTAACTGTTCAATCAGCTTGATAAGAAGTGATAATGGCTGGACACTAGCTGCCAGAAACAAGCAACTCCACCATATCAAAAATACATTTGGGACAAATGGACTGAGGGGTAGTTGAAGAAGAGTAGGTCCTATTCAGTGAAGTCTGTTTAGCTTCCAATACAACTTTTTCCCCTTTACATACAAATGTGTGTATATACACCCAATAATTTATACCCAAAATAACATATAGAATGTCTGTGTCACAACCTACCTTGATACCTACCTTCCTTGGGAGGTTTAGTTTTAAGACCCAAATCAGTACTTACTTCGGAGCAAGATGCTTTAAGAAATATCCCATCACTTTCAGAGCTTGCACCCTGATGCCTTCACTTTGTGATGCTAAAAGCTTGTAGACAACCCTAAGTGGAGAAAACACATTGGTCTTCTGTCAATGGGAATTTGTTATTACAAATATTATTATTACAAATGCAGACTTTTGGTGCTTGTAAACCTCTCATAAAAATTTAAGACATTTAAATGTATTTATCAGCTACATCCCATTTCTTTCATCGTTTACTTTTTAGACAGTCAAGTGCTTAGGGCCACATCACTATCTGATTCTAGGTGGACTCTGGTTCATAGTATTCAACAGATCTTTAAATCTGTGAAATCTGACTTAACTTTTCTATGTGGACTACTAAGCTCTCTTTGAAAAAAGAAAATATTAATTTCCAAATGTTCCATGAAATCATATTGAAACAGAAGGCACAGTACTTCCCCTTTATAAATAGGGTATGATAAATTTTTTGAAGAAATTTGGATCACTTCACTAGGGGGAAGGAAAAAAATCTACCTCATTTAAATAATTTTGGAGAGCCTTTCCAAAACTATTCCATGTTACAGCACGGCATTTTAGATCTTCAAGTCTTAAAGAGTTCAAAGGACTTCAAGCTTTTAGACCTTATCCATAACTGAGCACTCATCAATAGTTAAGTGCTTTTATTTTTATATGCTCAAAAATAATTCTTAGGACACCTGAACTAAGACCAAAAAGAATAAATTTTAAATAAATAAATAAATTGTTCTATACCAGCATTAAAGGTAAAAACCTACAGGTGATTAAAAAACAATTACATAGAACAAATAATTTATCCTGGAGAATGGTGCAACCACAGAAACTATAGAAGGAAGCAAATAAGCAAACCGATGATGCACTGGCCATTCAAGCAATAGAATCCATATATCTGCTTTCCTTTACAGAACACTATCAGGGTTTTCTAATTGCATGGGGAAAAAACATCTGTTTTTTTCCCCCGCGCTAGACTGGTTACTTAACATTTTTTATTTTAAGAGATTTCAAATATTTATAAAGCTTTGGAAAACTATTTTTAAATTTCAAGATTATCATGCCTTAATTGCAAAAAGTAGATGTATCAAGAAGCATACAAACAATCCATTAAGTGACTCGAGACAATACTGGAGCAAGGAGTGTAACAAATGAGACAGGAAAACTAAGTGATTTCTCGCTGTGGACTCACTATTCATGCTGACTTGCTCATATACTTGTTAACAAAAAAGAAGGCACCTACTGCTAGTTGTTAAATAAAACCAAATGTACTGCATTGGAGACCCAATGTGTTATTCAAATACCTTATTATTTAGAGGTTATTAGTTTCCCATACGTAATACATTACCAAACAAATGAAATCAAATCTGATCAAAATTGTTAAAAAAAAAAAATCAGTCTGGCACTAAAAGGGGAGAAAACAATTACAAACATGCTTGAATGCAGTCTCTTGAAAGGGCAACTGGAAAAAAATATATGTATAAACAGGGTTAACCAATACATGCAACTAAATGTATGAAATGAGATTCTGCCTCTACACAGTGAGCGAATTATTATTCCCCACCTCCCCGGTTCCTTCTAGGAATTGTTCTTACATTTGTTTGCCTGTACCATTTTTTTCCCTACTATGTTCAGGCAGGTTTCTGTTAAATTAGGAAAGTTTAATACTTTGAACACCCCCTGAGAGCCACAAGACAAAATCAAAGTCATAACTTAGCTCCTTGGGCAGATTTTCTACTTGTAGAGTAGAATTTGGTACTTCCACTACTTCTCTCTCACAATAGTGTTGAACACTCTTTTTCTGTTTGCTGGGAAAAAGACTGTGAACAGTGCATAGCACTAAGTGCTACTTTAAAACAAATAAAAAGTTTTTCTGGAAAAGTCCCACAGGAGAAAAAAAAGGGGTAGAAAACTAACAAGGATCAGAAGACTTGTGAATCAATTTTTGTCAGGCCCCGTCTACTTCTAAAACATCTGTAAGAACTGAGGGCTGAAGACAGAGCACCAGTAGATGAAGACATCAATGCACAGACTGAAATGGATCACTCCCTATTTAAGTGTGACTGACAGCTTGGAAATATTAAAAAAAACACCTCATTGATAATAAATCCACCAGCACCTCTTGTCAAAATGAACACCTGGACCCAAAAATCTCCCAGGATGAGGAGTCTATGATTGCAATACACACACTGATGAGAACCATTCAGATTTCATGGGAGTTCTTGCAAGCAACGGTATGGTCAAAACACTACTTCCTTTTTCCCACTTAAAAAATTTGTACTTACTGTAATCCATTCCTCTGATCAAATGCAGGGATCATAGAACCAGGATGCTCTGACATCAGAGCAACCAGCAACTGCAGGACATCCATTAGATTGTCATCCTGTTGGATAAAAGGTACAAATCTGTATTCACAACACATACACTAGAACACTATTTTAGCTTAAAGAACCACTACAAAATATTGCAAAAGTATGTGGAGATTAATGATAAACTAAGGACCTAATAATTTTGGCCAGGATCAAAAGAACTATAGCTCTAAAAGGCAAGTGCTGAAGAAAACATTACCAAATATATACTTAATTGTTTAGGGTGAAAAGTGATATATCAGTGATGATATATATCTGGGATGTAAGGATTTTACAGGCAATGGAAATTTAGACTATGTTACTTCCTTCCACACACATGCTCCTCTGTTTGCATGTGTATTTCCCAATCCTTTCCTGCACAGGAGCTACAAATAAACTGCTGCACATTTTCTGGGGCACAGGGTGGTGTTTAATGAAAAGTTTCTACTGAGAAATGTTCAAAACATGAGGAAAAAAATACTACCACCTGCCACAGACAATATCTTAAATGGGTAATTCAAGCTGCTTAATAAATTTTTCCATACTTTTAGTCTAAAGCACTCTAAGCTACAGTTCATTAATGTGTTCCAAGTTCTTTGTAGCTAAAAATAACCTAAGAAACAACAAAATGAGTCTTTTCTCACACTCTGTAGTATTAAAACAAAAGTTTATTTTAAATAAACAATAAAACACATAATAAATAATAATAAACATAATAAAACAAAACACTGTCCAACACTTTTGAACAAATACTGTGATTCTTTACTCTAGAGTATTTTGAAAAAATACTCTAATACTCTATTAGAAAATCAGTTTTATATCCTCCTGAACAACTCTGTTCATCTGATGATATTATCAGCTGACATTACAGACACTATCACTATTTAGCCACATGAGAAGGCTAGATTTTACTTTTTTTGTTGATGTTTTTCTGAATTCACAGTTAGACTGTGGGATTCAGCATTCATGGATCTTTTGCACTTGAGCATGCAAATTGCTAAGATATTAGAAACATCACATCCTCATCTGAAGGCTATCTAAAGCTTCTGCAATTTTAGTTCACTCTTAGATGTTACCAAGTCTTATTTTTCACTTCCCCACATAAAGTAGAATTGCTTGACTAGGGTACTACCAAGTAGTAGTAACCAGCACAAAGAATTAAAGGAAAATATAGGTGTAAGCAAAATTTAAAAAAAAAAAACAAAACAAACTATACTGCTTGAAATGAAGTTCAATTAATTCCTTATTTTACCCATTTCAAGAACCCTTACAGAGATGAGATCAGTTAGATTTATGTCCCCATTTCCCTTGTCTTTGATGTTGCATCTGGCATAAAGTGCCTTTTCCTGGTGCTAAAATATGAAGATGCAGATGTAACAGTAGTAACCAACATTTTCTCCCAATTAAGTTTATATGCTTCTCTTAGATGCCATTAACATATATCTTTATTTTTTTAATGCATGTTTTCAATTTTATTGCTTTATTTAAGAAGCAAAATAAAAAGGAGTGGAAAAACAAAAAATATTACTTAGGCAGCCTAAAACAAGGTTTTGACTTTTTTTTAAAGTCAGTCTCACCATCTGTTTTTCTGCTTGGTAAATTGGTTTGTAGAACAACATAAGAAACCATTTTGGCTTACTGGCTTAATGAACTTCAATCTAACACTGAACATAGTGCTTAAATCACTGCAAGAATATTGGCATATCAGCACACTACTCTAAAGAATTGGACAATGTTTGATACTTCCTCTGCAGAGCCATCTTGTGGCATAAAGGAGGTTATATTTGAAATTATTCAAACATTTGGTGGTCACAAACGGCACTAATATGCCACTCTTCATAAACACATCCCCCAAATTAAAAATTACCTCATGTATAGTAAGTAGGTAATTGAGGATAGCCTGTAATTCATCTTCTTTTATTCCATAGTCCTTTAAAAACAAACAGGTTTTAAGCATCACCTTACAAGTACAGAATGCTGTTTTCCAGAAAAAAACATTGTTACAAAAAATGTTTATATCACAAAGCAAGTACCACACAACAAATCTACTTTCACTTGATCCTGTAATAGCTCCATAGTTGCAAGGTAGCTTCTTCCCTGCACCCAAAAGCACCCGCTGAATGCCATGAAAGTATTTTAAGGCAATTTCAACACAGGCATTGAAACAAGATAAATAGCAATATAGTATATGAAATTGCTATAGTAATACCTGTTAATTGAAACAGTCAGTTTAAACTGAGAACTTCCTCTTAATAAAAGAATTAAATTGAGGTAGCATAAAGGACTCAAAAGCAGATCTGGAAGTTTAATTATAAGCCTCTAAGCTATACCCATATCTATGTTTGCTTCTTATTTTCCACTGGAGAAGCCCATCTTCAGCTACTATCAACTTTGAAGAAATCTTAATCATTTATGGCACCTATGCCAGCAATATGCCTTGAGGTATTTTTTGTGAAAATAAAATGAAAAATAACCGTTTCCAAGGACCAGATGAGGGTAGCAAAAGCAGGTTTCTCCACTTTTAGGGCTTTTATTTTTTAAAGCAAGCCTTTTCATTTCCTAAAAGGATTTTGCACCACTATGTACAAATAGAAAACCTGCCAAAGGATCAACCTCAACCTTTTTCAGTGGATGTTCTATTTGTTGTTGTGCTGGTTTTGGTTGGGGTAGAATTTAATTACAGGAGCCAGCACACAGCTGTAGTTTGGATTTGTGACAGAAACAGTGTTGATAACACAGGGAAGTTTTTTATTAATAAGCAGGGCTCACACAGTGCCAGAGCCTTTTCTGCTTTCCACACTGCAAGGAATTTGGGGGTGCCTGGGAGGGTGGGAGGAGATACAGCTGGTACAGGGGAGCCCAGTGGACCAAAAGGATCTTCCAGACCATGTGACATCATGAAGGAGGAAGGAGAAGGGAGGATGTTTGGAGTGATGGTGTTTGTCTTCCCAAGTCACTGTTATGCATGATGGGGCCCTGTTCCCCTGGAGATGGCTAAAGTGCTGCCTGCCCATGGGAAGCAGGGAATCAACTCCTTATTCTGCTTTCCTTGTGTGTGTGCCTTTTGCTTTCCCTGTTAAACTGTGTTTATCACAACTCACAACAAGCTTTTGCTCTCATGACTCTCTCCCTGATCCCATTGCTGGGTGCATGAGCAAGTGGCTGTGTGGTACTTGGTTGCCAGCTGAGGTTAAACCATGACAAAGGTGGTGAAATTCTATCCAAAACTGTCCAGGTTATAAACCTTTGACAGAAATGGAAAATTTTTTAAAAATATAGTAAGAATGAATCTAAAACTCAATGACAGTCTTTTAGAGTTTGATAGCTAAAATATCCCTGATACTTCAATTGCAACATACTCAATTTAAAGAAAGAGTTGAAGAGTTAAGGGCAGAGCCTTTCTGGTAGCTACTGCTCCATGCAGAGCTCACTGGTCTATTAGCAACACAGGGGAAGAGTGGAAAAGGGAGGTAGGTTCAAATACAAGAAAAGTCAACCCACAGAAGGGAGAAAAGAGACCAAAACTTATGATAGGAGAGAGTCATGAAGAGCCTATAAGCAATAGAGCTGCTGAATTCCAATATTCCTCTAATGCCCAAGAAACAGTTGTGAAAATTATTGATAGTCTTTCCTATCCTACTCTGTCTCACTGACCCACAGTATATAACAGCAAATGCTGCTCTTTAGCCTTTAGGCACTTATGATGTAGCTCATCATGTTAATGTAAAAAAAAAAACCAAAAACACCAACAAGAAATTAAATACTTGTTTTCCCAAAAGTAAACATTTCTAGCTAATTCAAGCTAATAACAGCTCCACTTCTGATAAGAACAGCTTAAAGGCGAAAAAAATGCAACCTTAGCATTGCTGTCCATGGCAAGAGCCACAAGAAGAAGCACCTAACATGGCTTTTCTGTTTATTTATTATCACAGAATTCAACATGTTTAAAGCATGTTATGCATTTCTTTATGAAAGTAAACTCAAATATCCTACCATAACTTAAAACTATCCTACCTTCATCACTAGCTGTTTAATGAACATCAGCAAAAATGCTCGCAGGGATAGAATCTCCTTCTGAGTAGGCCGTGGCCCATCTACAAAAGAAAAGTAGATACATAAAATAAAAATTAACAGTTGCTATTAGCATACACTGCATTTTCACAAAAACAAAAATAAAAGGCATTTTCTGGATGAAGAAGGCACAATTCTAAGTCTTCCCACCCTCTGTTTCAGACCACAAATCAGTACTGTATTTTATCACTTTTTATTATCAAAATGTCTGATCAGTGAGGTTCCACTAAGGCTTCACCTATCTGTGGTGATTTTAAGGTTTCCTCATGATGAACCAACTTCATGCAAGGAATAAGACTGATACAAAAACTTCATGTCAGAATTCCCAGATTTAAAATTTTTGCAGTTGATAGATTTTTTTAAAGTTCTGCCATAGCTCAAAGGAAGAGCTACATGCCATTATTATACGTTAGCTAAATAAAATAAAAAAATCAATTTTACAATGCTATGTATAAAGAGTACCTTGAAAGACATGACTTAATTTGTTAACTCAAAGTCAAAAAGGACTGGCTTCTGCCATCTCTGCATAAAGCAGACCTCCAAGGAAACATTTTAAATACTCAAACACTCAGTAGCTCCCAGGAGAAGCAAGGTTAAAAAAACAGGTGCAACCAAGTGTCAAAGTCAAGTAAAAGCTTTGGTACAGAAAGCAAACGAACTGTTGCAAATCCATTTTGGGGGATAGTTTTTACATTTGCCTGCAGTGCCACAGTTCTCATGATTTTAATCATCACACAAAAGCAAACCATCTAAAGAATGAAAGTGATCATATGCATCTGGTTTTATAAAGTATAGGCCCACAGGCATATTTGGTTTAAGAACAGCTATTTTTAGTATAAACCAGCCTAGTCAAAAGAAGCCATTAAACTGCACTACTAACACTATCCCACTCATCCACTTGCCTCAGGCTCAATAAATGAGTTCCAAATCTAAGCAAATGAACGAGAGAATAAAAAGAGAAAACACGATGCTTTGCTTCTTAAAGGATGAAAGATACTACAAAACAATCCTTACAGCCCACTAACAGGAAGGGCTGGTCATTTTGAGAAGTTTGGGGCAGGAAGTCAGACACATCTAGGGAGCACTCACTCCTAGTACATCTTTGCTCTCTCACATCACCTGCTTCTCTCTCTGAAATTACAAAAATGACAGAGAAAGACCATATTCCCAGGCACAGCTCTACAGTTAAAACACCCTACCATTTCTCTGACTACTTCTGTCTAGTATCAGTTGACACAGGTGTCTGATGACAGAGGATATGACTTCTGAAGAAAGTTTCCTATAGGTTGTGAAAAAAAAAACTTACACAGACAAAAGCACATCATTCACACTGTTATACTGTAGTGTAATTATTCAGTGTAACCACTCAAGTGTAATTATTTCTGAAGAACCAACAGCTCTATTCTAAACACTTGCAAGGATGATTTTGAAATACAAAATCAGCACAACATTGTATCCAAAACTTTTTTAAAACTAACATCAAATTGTGAGAATAAAAATCAGTATATACATATCCATATATATACACACACATACCTATGCCCTTGGGAGTTATCCCACTGCGATCCTGAGGGTTCACCACCCAGTAATAATACTTGAGGGTGTGCATGACCAACAGAACTGTCCCAACCCGCCGGATTGCTCCATAAATGTTAACAGTGGCAACAAACTCAGTCGACAGGTAAGTGTACAAGGTCAGCTGAACCTACACCAACAGTCAGGAAAACAAAAACCTGAATTGCAGCACTTCAGACAACTGAATTCTTATGTTTCATCTATCAAAATGTCTTAAAGAAATAGATTTTCTCTGCATAGTCTTAAAACCTCTGCAAACTGATGAAAAATTTCATTATATTTCTCAAACTGTACAGTGCTGGTAAGAAGGTTTCAGCTGGCAAGTTTTGATCGAAGTTGTTCACTGTCAGAAAACAGAGACTCACCAAAACAAAAATACTCACTTTCAATTTATATCAAGACTTAAGATCTGACAACAAGGATAATTTCCTCCCCAAAAATTGCTGAGTTTTTCCTAACTAATCCATCCAAACATCCCTCCCACTCTGGGTCAAAAGTCACAACTCTGGTCTGCAGAACACTGCAAGTTTTCCAACTCCCAGAAAACCTTGGGAATCTGCAAAACTTATCAACTATATGCAGCAAAGCAGAGTCTGAAGATAATTCTTGGATGACTTCTGCTGTGGAGCCAGAACTCATAATTCTTTGGACTCAATGGTTAGTTTCAACACTCCTAAATCAATAAACCACAAGACACCTTATTGATAAGAATAAGCAGTTTTACCTGTGCTGGGATATGAATCCATATTGCAGGATTCAGGAGAACATGATCACACAGCTGCTTTAGCAGGGGCACCCCATTGTGTAAATTGCTCAGGTATTTCGAGAAGGCAAGGCAAAGTTCTAGCACAGCTCTGGTAACGTGGGCTTTGGAAGACTGTAAAAGATAATCTGATTAAGGAGAGTCCTGCAACAGCCTAGGAAAAGTATTTAACTCAAAAAAAAATTCAACATTAGTGTAAGACATCAAAGAAGACCTACCTTTTCTAGGCTGTATCCTATCACAAGGAAACCTTTACAGGAAAGCATCTGTTCTTGCATAGCAATAGAGTTCTTCAACAACTCCATGATGAATGCCAGTAAAGTAGAACTGGAAAACATGGTTTAGAGTCAAGGAAATCATGCTAAAGGGTTACAAAAAGACAAGCTATTTCCAAATTAACACTCCCAAAACACAACCCAGAGATATATGTTATGTAAATGTTCTGTTACATAAATCAGAATTTTTAAAACAAAAAACAAGACTAAATTTTGAATGCGTGCTTCAAAATGCTTCTTTACCTTATTTCTCTAACTTGAAATTACCATATAAAAGCAAAATCCTTCTGAATTCTTGCAAAAAGGCAACAGTTAAGTTTGCACTACTCTGCTACGTGTGTCAATTACAAACTTCTGCAAGATCAATTACAATTGCCATTCTACTTCTTAAACTATCAGATTAGCAAATATTTTTCTAGACATAGCTTTGCTGTTGTGCTGCTGTCAGAGGGAACGTTCCCATCAAGGCACTAGTGCCTGTTGATCAAGACTTCAACCAGTAGAAAACCCCTGTATTGCTGGGCCAATTTGCAACTGCATCAAATCCCCAACTTAGCACAGAGATGTCCAAGCCTGAGCCAGCTCAGGACACACCCAGACACAAACAGATGACCTGAAGGAATATTGTGACCATCCCTTCTATGCAACAATATAGATACAGATCATCTTTAAACAGTCAAGAAACTACAAATGCAATGAATCAGAGCAAATTACACTGGAATCCTAAAAAGCAATCCCTCTGCTTTTACTGCTGCCCTTTAACTTAGGAGCTTTGCAGCTCCATCAGCTTCTGTGGCTGGACATTCAGAAACTGGATGGAGTTGAAACAGAGCTCAAACCAGAGGAAAAGCCTAGCAGCAACACTAAGTAACAGTATCTTCCAAAAATCTGAAGGTGAAAAAAAAAAAAGAAGAAAAATTCCAAGTAATGACTTCATGTAGCTGAAAAATTCACCCTTCCTGGAGTTTCTCTTGAAGCCTTCCCCAGTGAATTCTCTCCATTACAGGAATAAGCTAAAGAGAATTATCCATAATGCTGTTACACAAAAAAAAATTGTCAAGTATAAAGTATGTGTACATTCTGATTCTCTGTGAGCTTTCACAGAACACTTGGTGCAAAGAAGTACATCACTTTGAGGTCCCGCATGTAACTTTTTTGTTGTTAGACATTGCTGCAGAAGGCAATGCAAACTACTATGCCATTTGATAAAGCAATAGGTAATTTACTTCAAAGGAACAAAGCCCAGGACACTGCAAGTACATGCACTCACCAAACAGTTGTATCAATGTGGTCTGAGGAATATTGCCTATAGTCCAACTGTGCAAAGAGAGGGAAAAGCACCTGAACTCCTCCAATGGAGTGCAGGGCACTTTGGATCGAGTGTGTCAAGACTGCTTTCACATCCTGACAAGGAAGAAACAAGAAATTTTGAAATCTTTCAGAATCCGATGCACAGCTCGTTAAAATACTTTTTCATTTCTTCAATATAAAAACTGTATTAATACCAAATAAAAAGAAACAGTAGGAACAAACTGGCTGCCACAGTCACACTAAATGCACAGTATGCCTGACCTACTGGTTAGATACAGATCTACAGTGCAGATCCTCAGGTGAATCTACAGGACACAGCATTCAAAGCACACGGAAGAAAAGGATTTCATAACAGGGCAAAGGATGGGAGATAGGGAACATCTGTATGGGAGTGAACATATTAGAAATGAGAAAGTAGGATTTTTTTTCAAAGCTAACACATCCCTTGTATTTATTCACAGAATAAATTTTTTTCTTGCGATTCTTTTGCATCCTCTTCAGTTCAAGAAAGTGGCAGGGCCAACCCAAAATACCCCAAGCTATATGCAATTCCATATCAAAATCCCTATAAAACTGGATTTTAGGTTTTCAAACAGAAATCATTTTTACCCTCAAAATCTATGAAAATGTTGATTTACCTGCAGCATGAGGGCATGTGGTGAATGAACAAAAATAGAAGGGTTATCCTTAGGGGATGACTCTAGACACAGCTGTGCATCTGTAGCCCTTGGATTGTACATAAAAGCAATAGCACTGGAGAGTTTGCCATCATATAGCAACAATTTGTGATGTTCATCGAGGAAGAGATCACTTTCTGCCTTGAACTTGAACGTTCCCTGGATTGGGGAGCAGGGTTTTAGGAAGGAAAGGAGAAAAAAATTAGACTAAGTGCCCTGACAATACAGATCAGAACAATTATTGCAAAAAGTGATTAAAATATTGCTTCTTTAATCAAGCAGTATTTAATAAAAAAAGGTTCACATAAATACCACAGACTCATAAGATTCAAAGTCAATTTTACAGCATTACAATGGCAGAATTTTTTTGGCTCCTGAAGAGTGTCATTGCCAGGATAGTGGGTAATGTAAAAGAACCACATCAGCCTGGAAACAGCAGGACTGTCAGCAATGTTCACTCAGAAGGAACTAATAATTGAGGAGCAGACAGAAAAGGAACCATCTTTCTTAGCTTATGTTTGTACAGCTGCTGGGGAATAACAGCCTTCAATTAGTGCCCCTCAGGCTATGACAAAACAAATAATAAATCATTGCAACAAAACTAATCCTCAGCACCGACTTCACGCATTAAAAAAACCCCACTAGCACAAGCAACTATAAAGCCACGTTCCTAAAACAAATACATTATAACTGATCTAAAGTTTTCAGCCGCAATGAAAAAGTGAACCCCATCAGAGATAACAGTTGTGTTCTCCCTCTCCCAACCACCAACATGGAAATTCTGAGAAGCAAACAGAACAATTCTTTTTGCTTTATAAGAAATCAAGACTGAACTAATGCTCACTTGTAGCTTGTAAGGCCCTACTTAGGCTTATAGAAGAAACATGGAACTGAGTTTAATAAAAATATTACACTGTAAGACAATTTTTTTAGGACACAGAGGTGTCACAAGACTCTTAACACCTACCATAAAAAACCTTAGCATAATTAAACTTAGGAAAGTCAATTCTAAGGTACCTTATATCCCAGGCCAAGCTGATAAATGGCAAAGATCTGAGCAGCATTGAGAGCCTCACTAAAAAGGTAAACAGATGTCATCTGCCCACAAAACACTCGATTGGCATCTGCTGTTTCTGAAGAGCCCAGGAAACATTTGTCAAATGTCTGAAAACAGAAAACAGAACCCCCAGTAACAGGGTTTAATCCATGCTACACAAGCAAATCATGCAAAAAATAGGCATTTCATCAGGGAATATTTTTACATAAACACGTACTTGAGGGCCTCAGCAGAAACAAATATTAAGTTCTGAGATGCACAAAACCACAATTTATTCCCCTACCAAAATGTTACCATTTTTATTTCAACATTTTTAAAAAATGCATAAAATGGGGGAGGTTTATGAATAAAATGGCAAAGAATATCTATGCAATGCATCAAGATGATCAGCTATAGACATTAGTGTGCAGGGATTACTCACATCACTGGTGTTGACAAACCACGTTATTTCCCCATAAGATGCCAGTTCCCCGTTCACATAACACCGGAGTTCGCTGTTCTTCCAGCGGTTATAGATGTGCACTATAGTCACCATGTACCACTAAACAATAAAAAAACAATTGATATAACTCCATAAACACTTGGGAGCAGCTTAAGCATTCAAGTGGAGCTTGGAAGAACAAATTCAACTCTATGTGAATTAAATTAAGACTGAAATAAATATTTTAAGTAGGAAAGATTTAGTCACTGGTGAGTTTTCTTGCATTGCTATGTCAAAGGATAGTACAACATTTTTTCCACACATGAGCTTAAAAGGTATTTATGGCATATAACCCCGAAAACCTTTATGACATTGCTGAATCAAATTTATACTTAAATTATTTTGTAAACTTCTGAACTGGGTTACTCTTAGCATGATGGACTACTACAAATGCCATTCCAAAGAGTAAGGATGGCTCCAGACTAAAGCCTCTCAAAGGCTGTGCATGTCAAATTATCACAAACAGAATCCATATTTACAGCAAGGGATTACTGATAAGGAATTCCTGAGGAGGTCTGTTCTCCCACAAGATGTTTACACCAGTTGTTCCAGAAACATTAGCAGGACATCTATGTGAAAAAGGGAACATTCAACATCACACAACAAGGCAAGCCAGCCTTGAACAGCAGTAGTAAAATCAACTCATGTTTTAGTTGTAAAATTAAAAAGAAATAAGAATTCAGAACACAAATTTGTTTTGCTCATTCCAGTGTAACTGTTTTTCTACAGAAAGATGAGACTAAGCAACAGCTACAACACAGACTCACAGGCTACAATTTTAGATTCATGAAAAGTGTTTGAAAGATTTTATTATTTTTACTTACCTTTTGTGGCTTGAAATCAAATTTTACACAGTGCTGGAAACCTTTTCCCTTTGATTTTATGGACGTTACAATCAAGCAGCCTCCAACAAAGTGAGCAGAATAACCAAGTCCTTTGTTTGTTCGAAAACTGACAAATCAGAACAAAATCAGCACATACATGGATGGATGCAGAAATCACTGAACAATTAATAGAAACTGAGCTTCAGCAATATCAGCTTTACTTAATACTTACCAATATAAATAAGGCTTATCCTTATCCACATTAATATTATTTACAGGATCCATTCTTAGCCAAGTGTGGAAAGTAAATCCATTCTGGTATGGCCACTTGGCTATAGGAGGTAAGGCAATAGCCTGAAGAAAGGAAGAAGTTATTCATGTAGAAAGATCAACACAACAGTAGAAGCGTGAAGCTTAAGATACACTCTACAAATAAATGCTGATAAACAGAGCCACACTACAAATGTATACAGCTCCTCTATACTAAAGCAAAAAAAAAAATCTGGCCTAAGTACTGTTCTCTTTATACTCGATTGTTACAATATTTAATTAACCTAAATATTTTAAAACTGACCTTTATATCTCAAAAGAGATTATTAATACTAATCTATGCTTCAAAATTTAAATGCTTTAGTGAAGGCCTTATGGAGTAACAACTTCTCAAAATGCAAATTCAGATTGGCTTGGTTTTTAGGGTAACCTGACAGAATAATCTGTTGCATTTTCAGTGTTGGTTTTCAGGAAAATAACTGATCACGTAGGGAAAGCTAACCACATTTCACTTCATAAATTATTTTTTCTCCTGAAATTCATATCTATGTAGGCTTCCAGTAAGAAAAACACAGAATTACAAACTTCCTCAAAAGAAACACAATACAATCTCCACCAGGCAAAATCTTCATATCAAATATTGTGTTTTTAGTGCAAAGCCCTTGAGTTACAAAGCATGTGGTGGAACCCTTTGTTTCAAACAGCTGGGGTTTATTTTTTTGAGGTTTTCATTTGTTTGGGTTTTTTTTAACATTACTATTAACTTTCTGCTGGTGGATTGCAGCCCAGATTCACAATACAAACTTCAATTAAGATTGCCATAACCTCTGATCAAAGATGCTGCCAGATGATCAACACCAATGAATAAAAAAACATCAAAGAACTCAAGTGTCTCCAGACTTGCTATTACGTTATCATGCTCCATTCAGCTACTCCTGTCCACACAAAATGTTATAAGTCCTTCTGTACACTAGCTAACTAACCAGTCCCCAAGTCTTTGCACCCAGCTCTTGGGAATTGGTTGCATTATCACTTGACTTAACTCACAATGGAACACTGAATAATTATAGCAAATACTTAATTTCTTAAACTTCTAATTTAAATATATATAAAAATACCTATATAAAGGTTACTGAGGCCAATATAAAATATAGTTCAAGCATTCAGCATAATTAACAGAAGTTATATACAAACCAGAAGTTAAACAGAAAACCATGAATAACTAAAATGAACACAAACACTCCTGTCTATTGCCAAGTTCTGTTGCATGTGATAAAACTGCAGGAGCACTTTTCTAGCGGTCTGGATTTTTCAGTCTCAAGTTGTCATTCAAAAAAATAATTCATTATGTCATCAGGTTGGTGAAATTCAATCTCAAGCCACCAAGGCAGAAAGCTAATGGGCTTATGTGAAGAAAACTGGAAAGAGTCATCTGATTTATCTTATTCAATTTGTATTCTGAATTAAGCATGAAATTTTGAACATAATTTTTCATTCTACAATTGTAGAAGCAAAAGTCTTGATGTACTTAAATTCTATCAGAAGATTCTGCACAGGGTTTTCCAACTACCTATTTAGTTTCAAAGTCTTTTTCAAGTGAACACCACAAAACTTAAAAATTAGTCACAAGAACAATTACAAAAAGACTAATCATTGCTAAATGTAATCCTTTTCAGTATTATTCAGCTTATAAATGTCTAGGATCAATGCTTTCTCAAAGATTTCTCATAAGCATCTAGACTGAAAAGCAGGTATTTTCTGCTTGCAACAAGATTTAACTGAACCAGTCTGAAAAAAAGCAACAAAATACAAAAAAGCAGCCTCATTTGTATCCATTCTTTATGTAATAGTATTTGTCCTTCTGTAGTGATATTGCACATCTATTATAAAAACATGATTTATTCAGGCACTAGTTTAAGTGTCAGGCGGAGAAAAAAAAATTGGTTAAAACTTTGTAACAATGACAGATGAGACAAAGAACACCACGAATGAAAATAACCAAGGGCCTTAATAGAACAATGAACAAACAAACAGGAAATTAAAAGTATCTACATACTGCAGCACTTTTTCCTGGAAAGTTGAAGAAGGCATCAGGTCCATACTTCTGAGGCATGTGTTTTAACACAGACAGTAACTTCCCAGCATGTGGTGGCTGACAAAGAGAATTACTACATTTGTAAATAAATAAAACAAACCTCTAAGAAAGGAAAGACTATAGACATAAAAAGCAAATTCTAACACCTTTTAAAACTTTGCACATGGTTGAATAACACCCTGCTAAGACACTGAGCACTTTCAGTCAAACAATATTAGCAGTCATGAATACCTTCACACAATATGCAGTAGGTGCACTGAATTACTGTTAATTAGGTAACTTCACTAAGGACTTGAAGGCCAGAGCTGGCAAACTAAACTAACTGAATGCTGATTCCTCCCTCCGTCTGTTCATTCCCATCAGCTCGCTGTGTGATTTTGCAGTAAGCTAAAGAAAATTAACTGGTCCAGATGAAAACAAACTTAGGGAAAACAAATGAAAACCAATTTTTAATTACAGCTGTTCTGGCTGAGTGAAAGCTGTGCCAGCAGAGGGGAGATGGGGAATACCTAGCCAAAGGGAGAGGGAAGATTAGCAGAAGGATTATTTTCATCAGGACTACAGTCATATATTAGATTAAACTGATTTGGTTTATACTTTCACGTATGTCCATGGAGAACGCTTCAAGTCCCAAGGGCAATTTGGAGCACCTAAACTGAGTGCTCAGTGTGAATACTTAGAACTTCACCACCACCCATATCCTGATGATTTTATTGTAATAGTCTGCAACTACAAACTCCAAATCAAGTATATGAGCTCACAACAACAGAGGAATAGCAAATACTAATCATAGTGACAGGACAATTTTGTGTGTTGTCTTTCACCACACCGCATCTTTCTGGCAGATTTGTTTTTAAACTACAATTTTATAATCCTGATATTTTCCTGAAAGTGTCCTTTTTCACCCTGTTGTTAACAGCTACCCTCTGAAAACTATAAATGATGCTGGAGCATTGCATGATCCATTACAAGTATTTCAAATGTACCAAAGGTGCAGTCAGCTAAGTAGTGCTTCAAGAATCTGAGTTAAAACTGAGGAGGAAATGCTGAGAGCTGCTTAGATGTCTGCAGTGCTATAGAATTTGATCAGGTAAATTGTTTTGCAGCAAAATTCTTGTTATCTTTACAGTTCTGCTGATTTTAAGATTTATGGAGTTCCATAACTCCTTGGCAATCCAACTGTGGCATTTTTCTCCTGCTTTCCCCTATTTGGTCTTTAATAAGGGAAGGAAATTAAATGCAAATAGCGGGGAGACAGGAAATGAAAAAGTTAATGTTACAGAGACAACTTTAATTCCCCTACAGTTAAATATACTCTGTATGTTCAATTATTAAGTTTAAACCATCTATAAAGTTTGGAGTATTTTTATTTAAGCAGGTTAAGATCTCCAAAGCTATTTATTTCAAAGGGCCTTTTAAAATCTGCAGTATTATGTGTGCATATTTGCTTTTATATTGTACACTTTTTTTTTTTTTTAATTATTTGAAGTCAAGAGAGACAATGCTACCTTTTCCCTACACGAGTCATAGTATCTAGAAATAACAGGAGCTGAATTAAAATTCAAAGCAGGTAAAATGATTGTTCCCAAATCCAGTGAAACAACAACAACTGTGTGTTGAAGAAAACTTTATCAGGTGGCCTCTACAACATATACATTTTTACTTTTGGGAAGGTGGCCTCTCAGCTGTAAAAAGGTCCCTTTCTATTCCACGCAGAAACAAGAGATAAATTGTACAATTTTTCATTGGGACTTAGTTCCTACAGTTCAATTTCTGCTGAAATTCTCACTTCCCTAACTGGATCATTTTTTTTTTTAATCTTCAAGTAAAGCACAGCAATGTGAAAACGGGAGCAAACAGCACTGCCTATGTAGGCATTTTTTATTTCTTTCTGTCTAGTAATTTTTTAAAAAATTAAGCTTTTTTCCTTCAATTTCACATATCTGGAATCAAAAATTAAAATCATGTGCATAAAATACTTAAGAATGACCTTATTATTCCCAGGTGTTTTAAAAGACTAATATAGTCCACAGGTTCAGGAAGGAATTTAACTTCACCACCATTCTACTCCCTTTATTTTAATTGCTTTCTGGTAAAAAGATTCTTTATATAATATGAGAAAGTTTCCTATATTTTTTGGTGTATTCAAAATTTGTTTATCATGAAGTTCATGGAACAGTCTTAACTAGTGAAAATTAGGAAAAATAAAAGCGACACAATAAAAATTGTTTCTGTTTTGTGTTTTCCTTTACCCATCTCCCTTTTTCTCCTTGCAGCTTGCTGAAGAATAACTTCAGCTCTCGAACTGTCAGGTTATAGCTAGCCAACACACCCAGCATGTCCACTAAGAGATCTGAAAAGCAAAAAGAACAACAGTGTAAGTGCTTAATAAAAGACAGCGTCATATTTTTATCATCTAATTAATAACTGTGTCCATGAGATTTTGTGTAAAAGCACAGTTTGAGTTCCACAGTGTGGGAGGCTGTACCTGCAATCATGTTTTCAGCTCTATCAATCCTCCTGAGCACTTGTTCCACAAGCCCCACTTCTGTGCAGACCTGGAGATTCCGTATGCTTTTCTTCAGTATTGCTGTAAACATGCTCCAAACCTCAGCCTGGCAGGTGATATCACACTTATCCAGTAAGTCCACCATGGAGGTGATGCCCTCTCCTTCTTGGATGATAAAGTTCATTTCCAAGTCAAACTGGCCCCCAACAAGCTTTTAAAGAAAAATATTTACAAAAAAAAAAAAAAACCTTAAGGCAACAGCATCAAAGTATTACTCCATGCCTAAAGTTAGTCATTCTTAAAGTGTATTATTGTATATGTCTAAAATTCTCATAAAGTGAGAAGAAAACTGTCAAAGGTGTAAGGGAAACAAATATAATCATGAGGCCAACATCAATGTACCATCTTATTTTTCTTCTGCTTTAAGTTCTGTTGAGTAATAAAGGTGCTCATAAGGTGTCACCTACTATCACTGTAGTGACACTGTAGTGACAATCGCTGTAGAAAAACATTTGGGTAGTTTAAGATGAAGGTGTCCCAAGCTGAGCTGAAAAGTGAAGACACCAAATGAGTGCTCTAAAACAGATGAGCCCAACAAAGCAATCAAGATATCTTAAATGCCTTGGAGTGACCCTAAAAGCTTGCTTTCACATTTTCTAAACAAATCTCCATTAAGAGGGCCATTTTAGCCAAAAGGAGCTGATGCACATCAGAAACATTGCCACTTATGAACACTTATGAGACATTCCCGAGACAGTGACTAAAGCAGGTTAAGAATTAACTCCTGGGTTCATTAGCAGTCCCAGGTACTCAAAGGAAGTAAAGGCTTGCTCTCTTTGCTGGAATGTGGAACAGCAGCACTGTTCCAAGCCTTTGGCTGTGATGTGGCTATGAGACTTCAACCCTGTAATATTTCAGGTCTCCTAGGCAAGTTTTGTTTGAACATACACTGAGTAACTAGCCACATAAGCCTGTATGGAGGAGGTAGAGGGGGGGAAGGAAATAACCTCCTCCACTCTCATTTGAATACTTAATAAAAAAAAAAAATTCTAGCTGATGGCAAAATGCATTATAGTAAGTTAACTTCCTTATACCAACTCCCTCCATCCACTCTTTAAAGTTCCTTTCAACTTTAGAGCTGTATTAACCTTAAAAACATACCATGCTTACCAAAATACCCATTATATGCCAGCATACAAACAGGAAATCAGATAGCACTGACTCAAATTATCAAAAGGGACTCATGAGCAGAAATATTGTAGCTCGTTCTCACTTCTGCAAGTTTGTGGCATTATTTCAGTCCTACACGGTGGTGTTCCTTCCACAGGCTTTGACCATTAACAGCTTCAGTAACATCACCTGCTAAAGTCACACCATGTTGAAATTGCCCAAAATCCATACACTAACTTGCTTCCATATTCGCTCCAACAGCTTTTCTCATCTAGTCAGGATCCAAAGAACAACTTAACATGGAACAGAATACATGCTCTTCATTAACCTCTGAAATTACCATACATTTTCCTCAAGTGTCTCAACCTTGTCACTTTGAAGAAGCAATCTTTGGACTTCTGGGAATAAAACAGTAATGCCAAACACTACAGGAAGCAGAGAAACTTACTGCTTTTATGACAGAAGAGACAATGTCTCATGGCAACGATTTCTAAACAGTAATTTACACTTTTCCATTTTCTCCTCTCTGGGTCATGAAAAATAATTATGCAATTTACTATCAGATGCTACCATAATATCTTGGAAAACAGCAAGAACTGAATGGGATTACTTGAGTTATATTCCCAGCTTCTCTATATCAACTCATGCTGTCAACTCAAACAAATCTATCAAATCATTACCACCCTCCAAGCCTTACTTTTCCCCTTCCAAAAGACAGAGCAGAGGCCTAACTCAAGAAAGCTCTGCAGGGTATGCTACGCAGAACAAATTAACACAATTATCTTAAAACAAATGCAAAGAAAAATACACACTCCTGCTTAAAAAAAGAAAATAAATCTCAAAGTATTTGAAAATATAAAATACATAATCAGTGTTACACTTCATTTCACACTGAATTTATCCTCTACAAAACTGAATATTCCTCAAGCAGCTGCTCTTCTTAAAATCAAGATAAGAAACAAAGAAAATACTGTATTCTATGTAGAGACAGAACAGCTGAATGTTAAAAATTCTGGCCACAAACCACCTGATAATTCTTAATAAGAAATTCAACTCTTTATGCATTTGGTTTTAACTATCAGCCAACCATCAATTATCACACCAAAACCATATACAGCTACTAGAGGTGACCTTACCTTCACCCTATAGTCTACAACACCAATCTTTCATTTTTGGCTACATATACTATTATCAGAACCCACCCATCCAGGAAGCTGTCGAATTAGGTTTCCAACCTCATCTGCAAACATAAGCATTTCAGCAGGCATGTTCAAGGAATAATATGCTATGGTAAAAAATAATTACCATTTTAACACTTCCTGTGAGGGAAATGAGGACAAAAAAAAATTGTCAGGGAAAGCAGAATACCCAAGGCAGGGTGCAGGTGATGTACAATATGTATGCACACCCATTAGATACACACAGGCGCACACACACCCCCCACACTATGTCATATTAACCCTTTCTAATGGTGATTTGAAAGTGATCAACCTTCAAAACACAAATTTGTTTCCAATGACAGGGATCATAATCCAGGTCCATGCATTGGCTAGTTATTATCTGAGCTGCAGTAATGGCTGTGCACAGCAAAATGTAATCTTCCCAAATGTCACAGTAAGTTATGAATATCTGAGCAGCTTAATGCACCTTACTAGCCATGAAGTGTGAGAATGTAATCTTATTACCTTTTTTATGGTTGTATTTTTTTGAATAATGTAGCCTTTGAACTGATGTATAGTCTTTCCTTGCACTTTAGCATGATTTGGTCTCCTGTGTCGCACAGTACATTTTTCAAAATTCTCCAATTCAACGTATTTTAAGTACTATGCTGAGCTGCATAAACAATCTTTATAGCAACCCACAGGGTGGCATAACGTTTTCTTTCTTCAGCATGTAAAATTAAGTACAAGCTTACAGGAATGGTTTTAAAGGGCAGCATTCAAATTCATCCTCACAAATTTCAGATTTTGCCAGTTATATCCACTTTCAAAAATATATATAAACTAAACCAATAGCTCAAGCTTCTCAGTAAAATGGTTCTACATTTAGCTGACTGAGAACTGGGAGAATACAGCAATTTTTGAATATACATGCAAAGAGTGTATTTTCCCCCCCTTAGAAAATTAAACAAATGAGAAGTCAACATAGTAGTGCTAATTTTTAGTATAAAACAGCACTACAACACTTCTAAATAAAACCAAAGACAATTTAAACACACTTAACTTTTCTTTGCAGTGAAGTGATGTGAGATATGAAATAAATGGTTCACTGTTTGGGTGAACATCTACCAAACTACTGCATGCAGAAAATAGCTCAGAATAGAATAAACAGTCAAGTACCACTTTCCTGAAAGAACGTGATCTAGATTATTTATTAACTAATTTAAATTATTTCTCCCACTAACAGATATAAAATATTTAGAAAGCTTGCAAGACAACCCAAGAAAAAATATTTCAATGACCTATAACACAAAAAGAAGAAACCAAGTCCAAAATCAGCATTTCTCCTGGAAAAGCCAGATTTGCTATACTTGGGAGAACCACAGGGCTGGATCTTCACATTTTTATCTCAAACCTCCAAAAATGTCTTCACTTCTATCATTTCCTCATCCTTCTGGTTCTAGATAAGTGACACATCAAGTAATTGCTTTGTTCCCCAAAGCCAGAACGAAGGACTATTAACCAAACTGTGACCTCCCTTTTCCTCAGGATGATGACTTCGTAATATCAGAATTGTTTCTTTATTATGTCCAAAACAAGGAGTATGAACACCTATCCCATGAAGAAAAAAAAAAAACCAAACATTCAAACAGGCTGGTTCAATCTCAGTGAATTTTTTTTAAGTCCATGCTTAATAAGAACCTGCAAAGCTGTACATTTATAATAGTGTTTGCCTACGTTTATTCTTATTTTCCACCAAAGAAATAAACCACCTCCCTGACTCCATCCCCTTTCACATACTCAGAAATATATTTCACATATTCAGAAACTCATTGAATTAAGATGATTGAAATTTCTTGATTATCAAAAATAAATGCCAAAAATATGGGAAGCATAAGAATTAAAATCTCTTTGGGGTAAGAGACTCGTAGGAACATGGATGATTCCAAGCTGGTCAGATTCCAAGGGTACACAATAAACAGGAAAATGCAGCACCATGATACACATTCATGACGTGATAAAAAGATGGCTATGACTTGGAAAGACTTCTACAGAACAGAAGAAGAAAAACATTGGGAAAGAGAGTAATTCAGACATGCTAACTTCCATGCATTCTCTTCCATCTCTAACACACCACCTAGGGTGGAGAACATTAAAATCTGAGAAGATTAAGCAGGAAAGCCTGTTGATAGTTTGGATAAATACATCAAATAGTGATGTTAGCATGAATGTCAAGTCAATCAAACAGGGCTTGGGCCCAGAGAGGCTAATACGGAGGGCAAGAAAGGGGCAGAAAAAGCCTGGATATTAACTTTTTTCTTCATTATATTGCTACTGTATCAACCATAATGCACTAGAAAAACTGGAAAAAACAAAAAATGCTTTAAGTGAAATGATTAGCAAAGTTAAATTCTATCCTACAGAAACAAACTGGGGGGAGAGGGGAAATCTACATTTCTTCTATCTAACAATTTCAATTTCTTGCCCATGTAGGTACATACATCTGGTGTATGGGCTTCTTCCCAATAGAATGAGGTGGGGAGGGAAAAACAACTTTAAAATACAATTATGCTGTAATCAATGATTCCTTATTTACCCTAGCTAATAATCCAGTATTTTCACTCGACTTGCAAGCATTTTTATGTCATATTAGTTCATTAACATTAGATCAGTTTCTAGCATGCAGTTGAAGGCCCAGTGAAAACAGAGTAATGCAAGGAAGAATTATCTCTACACAATGTTTTTACACATGGGGGCTGGGGAACAGCTCTATTTTCTTTTGTGTTTAATCTACTTTGAAAAGAGCCATCAAATATCTTTTAAGTACATACCAAAAACTACAAATCAGTATCTTATAAACTCTCCAAACAGTGGCTAAAGG